GCGAGAGAAAGAGACGAGGATAGCGCTGAATATGGAAGTCGCTGCTCATCCTCACTAGAGTGCAAGAGCTGTCATTTCTAGTGCCCGCAGAAAGCGTCCGTCGCTATTGTCGCCGCTTACCACAACCTAATTGGAAGTTGGAACCCAGAAACTCTCTGCTCTGGCCTCTCCTCTTACAGCACGCACGGCAACAGATCTCCAACCATACTTCTTCGGGATCAGGATAATTCCCGATGGCTACGACCACATCAAATCGTTCGTGACCGCTTCTTCTCACTCCCGTTTTCTTTCAACTTCTCTTCCATCAACAGTGCGCTGCATCCATTTCTGACGCGCTCTTCCTACTCCTCGGAAAAATCTGCCACCAACCACCCGTTCGACCCCATATCCTTACGTTTCCCATGGTGGCTTGCCTCTGCTCAACGCTCACCGTCGAATGCGAACCGTGTAAACAGATGCCATCCACTATTCGCAACCCCCCACCACTCTCACGGACGAGCTTCAACGATTCTACGATTCTATTGACGGCTTATTCCCCAGCGCCAGTCGCCTTCCAAGCTGGCCCGCAGGTCGCCGAACAAATCCTCGATTGCTGCCGCCTCGATTAGTCCTCATAGGACCAGAAATTGGCCTGATCCTGTTTCCCAGCAGGGCAACCTCTTATGCTTCTTTTGCCTCTTCACTATTACGCCTTTTAATGATTTCACACCTTGCAGTTCTTGCGATTTGACGAACACGGCTAGTACACCCTCACTCCACGTCTGTTCTAATCACATCTCTCCGACTGGAACTGTGCGAGACGGAATTGCTTCTGACCGACAAGACGACATCTTCCAGAACGCGCCAGGTTTCTTTGCTTCTGACGGCGATTTCCAGCTACGACGCCGCCTTGCATTGGTCCCTGATTTATGATCATCAACTGGATCCACGTTCAGATTGTATGGCTCCAGACCACGCATCATTCTTGTCAAGATCTGGTGGAATTTGCGACCCTTTGGCGATATTCTACCTCATTTAAGCAACCATTTAAAGAACAGCCTCCTTCTCGTTTAGACCAACCTCGACCGGATATAGGTAGGATATTCCAGACCGCACGAGGCAAAGCTCAGACTGTCGCCAAACCGTTGTCCCAATTCGCGTTCCTTCGGTGAAGGTCTACGCCACGACACACCTATTCCAGCCCAGGCTACTCGGGTCTCGAAACGGTCTCCCAACGATTACGGCAACTTTAACTACACGGTTGGAATTGGGAATATCGGGCAGAATTTGGGCATCTGCCAGTTCAAATATCAGGACGGCAGCAATAATTCGGAGGTTCTGCGCCTAGCCTGTCGAAAGCGCGGACTTCTTTCACTTCATTCGCTTGTGGTGACCACATTCAGATCTTCAGCCATCAGCCGCCTTCTCGCGAGCGCGAATTCTTAGTGGACAGCCCTCGACGGGAGATCATATTCCAGCTGGCCTCTTCGGCCTCTTCACGTCCCTCTGCTGCTCCTGCATTGCATTTGCTCTCTCGCGGTGTTTGGCGCGTTTGCCCAGACGACTACTCGAGCAAAGGAGACTAGCTTGCACGGCACTTTGGACCCCACCACCTAGCTGTATGTGATCCTTACCCTTTTCGATTCTCCCTTGCATCCCTGCACATCAAGTCATCTGTGCGCAATATCTTGCTTAGAGGCAACCCACGCTCGTCTCCAGTGGTGCTTCTGTACATATGCCTGCCTGTCTACACCACCTTTATTCTCCCCCATGGAGCTTGTTTGAATGTCACCGGCACTTGCGAGCATGACCTTGACGACACTATAAACTGACTTTTGTAATCTCATGCGAACAGGTTCCTCAGTCGGGTGGCTGCATAATCTCTGGGACACCATCAACCCCCGGTGAACGTCAACAGCTTCAAGTCTTTGTCTACATCTGTAAGCGCATCCTCTCGAGCTTGGTCCCGCTCTGTCCTCTTTCCCATCTATATACTGACTAGGACGCGCTGAACAGCTTCGAAATTTAGTATCATCATACCAGAAACCCTTTGTGTTATAGTTTCAACTTCCCGAGACTCGATCCACACCAACCACAGAATCTTTGATATTTAGATTATATCACTACTTACAGAGCTCGATCCAAGTTTCAAGCAGCTTACAAGTCAGATCGAAGCTCCTTCCTTCTTCTAAGCTGTCGTTCAAACGGTTCTCCGCAAGATCCAAACATCCCATATGATAGCTCGAACCACAATCATTTCAGCAGCACGAACCGACTCATCCCCGGGTTCATTCGATACCAGCTCCAGACGCTTCCAATCAAGCGCTATATTCCCGCAAGACCATCGTTTCAGCAGAAATCGTCGCGGTTCGTTGAACGAGCAGATCGTCGGTAAAGCGCATCTTCGCCCCCCAACATAACAACTTTGTAGGTTTCGACCTGCAACTAGACGCTCGCTCGTCGATCTAAAGTATACCAAACATTTCTTCAACCGCCAAACTGGCCTATTCAACGTATTCTTTGCTTGGGGTAAGTTCGCTTCCTTTGCGCAAGTTCGCAAGTTGTTGCCTACATATAAATACTGACTCACTGGCTGCAGCCTGCACATCTCTCGTCCCATACACCAATTATTCTAGACGAGTCATATCCGTCGCCCGAGAGTGCCGCATATCACGAAGAAGGTTACGAGGGAGCCCTCGTGGCGAGGGTACATTCCCCAAGAGACGGCATTCCCATGTCTGCCTACGGGAAACCAGCTCCCTCCGAACTTCACAGTTTGTATCCGATTCAAAACTGTTTTGTTCACTTACTAATGCGATACTCAGGCTATGAACCAAATCGTGCTTATCCCGAGGGATCCTTCCCATACGCGACAACATATGGATCGCAGCCTGGTTCCTCCTCAGCCACTGCGCCCGGGTATGCGCACTCACAGCAATTAAATCCGATGGCCTTCCCTCCATCGCAGAGCCGCACGCCCTACGATGTACAGTCAGGACCTTATCTCAATGTTGGGTCGACACCAATTCCTGAAATATCGAAATGGGAGCCCAAAGCTGGACCCGCATCAACGCCGTTGCATGTGTACATTAGTTCCATGTACGAACTGATGACAAGCAACACGCCAGTTTTCTACTTGAGTTTTGGAGGTCGAAAGTGTCAAGCGGCGTTGACGAAATCGAGCCAACAAGGTGCTGTCTGCCAATACACCGTTTCAGCGCAAGTCCCGGATTTCGCGGTGACCGGTTGTACAACTTCCCAAGTACCAGTGAATATGCTCATGGAGAGCGGAGATGGCGATGTCATTGCGTCGGTGGAAGTGGGAAACTTTGGTTATGTCAGTGATGTGCAGAACGATTATGGTGCGCAAGACGGTTCGAGGAAGAGAAAGATGTCGGATGCATCTCCAGAGTTGATAAAGAGTCCTGCAAAGCGAAACTCGGCTCAAATGCTTAGACCGAAGGAGGAGTATACCGCATACGGATATCCTACCGGTCAAAACAATTCCTCGTACTCCCCATACATGCAAGCCAGTCAAGGGTATAGCAATGCTGTACCACAGTACAACCGACCATTAGCAGGCTATCCATCACAACCTTCGAGAAACATCGGTTACGGTTACTCAAACGCATCGAATGCGTCACCTCCTACAATCAAAGCGCAATCACCTCGGGTAGGAAGTTGGAGTCCAGCGTACGGATCGGCGGGGCAGCATCTTGGGAGAGGTAGTGGACTTCCTTCGTCTGAGTCGATGAGCCGGTCATCTCTACCTTCACCCGGTCTATCTGCAAACCCACCTCTAATCAGAACTTCCACGCTTCAACAGACACCAAGTCCAGCAACCATACCACATGGCGGGATTCATGGACAACAGTTTGCACCATATAATTTATATCCAAGCAAGGCGAAATTGGAAATCAACGGTGACATAGAGTCGATGGCAAAAGAATGGTCAGAAGATGAATGGGACGCAAAACGACGGCTGGTTGTTTTCACAAGATCACAGTCTGGCAGCACAATTTCCGCTTCATTTCGAGCAGTAACGCCAGAAGAGCGACCGCCACAGAGTATTTGCATCAGTTGCATTTACTGGGAAGAAAAGGAGCAGTGCTTTGTCACGAGCGTGGATACGATCTCTCTGCTGGAACAGTTGGTTGCAGCTCGATTCACTGTGGAAGAAAAGAACCGGATACGCAGGAATCTGGAAGGCTACCGACCTCTGACTGTTTCCAAGGGAAAACCAGATAGCGAGGAATTCTTCAAAGTCATCATGGGCTTTCCAACGCCAAAACCCCGCAATATCGAAAAAGATGTCAAGGTGTTTCACTGGAAAGATCTAGCCGCAGCGCTCAAGAAGATCATCGGCAAATACGTAAGTCATACCCAGATTCCTCATTAACTACTCTGCATTCCTTTCATACTGCATTCTTGAATTCCCTGCTGATTCAAAATCAGTCTGCTTCCCCATCTTCGACCTTACCGCCTGCTCCACCACTTCTGACTCCATCGAGCTCCACGGGCTACGCAGCAGAAGGATCATCTGCCGGCATTTCCTATATGGGAGATCATCATGGGACCATGTCTCCTCGATCGATATCAGGTTCAACCACCTCAACCGCATACGCAACGTCCATCCCCGCGCGCGTACTCTCACCTCATAGTCAGAAGTCCATGGTGCTAGGCCCAGGTCCATCTGATCTTCGCGTCTCTCACGACCCCCACTGGCAAGGGGGGCAGCAACAGCAGCAGCAGCAACACATGCAAACCTCTCATCAATACGCCCATCTCACCCCCCAGACCGCTCGAGGCTCTTGGGACATGGCAAGCTACAACCACGCAAATCAAGCGGCATCCTTGACCGGACAGTTAGCAAATTACCCTCGCAACAATAACATTGCGGATAACGCGGTTTCCGGAGCAGATAACCAACTTGTTCGCAGTCAGAGTCACCAGATGTCTCTATCGCGTACGTGAGGCTGATGCGGCCGTCTGATTGGCCGTCAAGGAGGCGAAGGTCCAAAGAGGGTGTCCTGCACGAATCATTGGTCACGCGCACGAGCCACCCTAGCCCCGATTGCAATCCTAGTTGAACTCGTATCCCCCCTCCGCCACAGGCAGTCAACATCGTCGTCGTCCTTGTTGACTTATCGCTTCACATACCCAACCACACCCTCAGTTCGAGTGTATGACAGCTTTACTCAGCAGTATCTGCCCCCCTTGTCTACACCCTCGCGACGATTGACCGCGTACTACTTTTCTTGACCTTCATATCTACGGCATTTAATTTTCTCTTGGCTTCTATTTCGCCGCCGTGGTTGTTTTCATTTTCCTTGTTTTTTTGATTTACTAGTCATATTTTTTCTGCTCGTTTTAGATATCCCATCGTTGCATTTTACGGATTCTGGTTTGAAGGGGTTTTGGGTGGCGAGAGAGTCCCTCCTTTTTGGGGCTGGCTGGTGGATGGCGTTTGAAAGGTGGTTTGCATGGTTGCATTGTTTTTTGGCTTGAATTTGGTTTGAATTTTGGAAGGGAGAGAATAGTCATTAGTATATTCATCTTTTTTTGAGTTTGTTGATGTTGTTTGAGATGGGTGTGTATGACATGCATACAGTGCAGTATCGTGTCTGTTGCGATTCGGTCGTACTCCCGACCGTTTTATGTAGAGGGGGGGTTGGTTCATGCTGTGGGACCTTGAGGATCTGTTCCGCACCTCTTCTTCATCTTTCAGATTTCTTTCACATACATCATCATTTTTTTCTTTAGGTCATCTAAGGAGCTTTCCTTGATGCATTTTTGATGCGGGAGATAGGGGGTGGGTTGGGTGCATGTTAGATGGGTATTAGGTGTTTTGGGGAGATTTTGGACTTTTTTTTCTTTTCGTTCTGGATACCTATATGCATGGGATTGTTTGGGTTATATATCTTTGGAGGGAGGGGGCATGGGATGAAGGGAATATGGGATTTTAAAATACAGAACGGTCAATTTTCTAGGGGGGATCCTATTAATATTTAATATCAGAGGTTAGCACAAATGTTCTCAGTAGTTGACTGTTGTGGAGTGTGAAGGAAATGTAGAGGGCTACGTCATTGAGGGTGATGGAAATGTGAAATGCATAGGTATCCTCATGACTTGGGGCACTGTCTTGGCTACAGCACAAGTTTATGAGTTTGTAAATTCGTCCCCCAGCGACTTTGGGGGGTTTAAGCTTATCCCAAGGTTGCGCGACAGATTTGCGAGGCTGGAGGGGTCGTGGCGGAGGAAGAGCTGCAGGTGCGTCGAAGAGGGTTAGGTTGTGGCGGAGAGGGTTGTGAAGCGTGGAGTTATACTCCGCAGTGGTACGCGACATGATTTTTGTCCACAAGGTGTTGTTGCGGTTGCGGTGGACGGGGGATGGGTCGTGATAAGTCCAGGTGGTTTTCGGGCGGACGCGAGAAAGGGGGGGAAACAAGAAAACGGTTCTCTTTACTTTGATTTATCTGGGATTGATCGTTCAAATTTTGGATATGCGGATGGGATCGGGATTTAACAAGTTCGCACGCATGCGGATAGGATAGGATTTTTCGGGTGGATGGATGGATGTGGGTGTAGATGTAAATATGTGCGATTCATGTAAGGTTATTTTTTTGTTTTTGCGATGAATGGTGCTGGTGTTGGGGGTTTTTTATTGCGCTCTGGTTCGACGGTCGGAAGCAAAGTGTGTTGTTATCGGGGAGTTTTCGTTCGAGGAGATGGATAGGGATTTACGTTTTGGATGTAAGTTATAAGGTCTAGATTAAAGATATGAGGGGATGTGCAGCTGCTGCAAGGTGAGGGGGGAGGATGTAATATGTCGATCATATAGGGTTGTGGCTGGCGGCTTGACGGGGTTCCGTGGGCATGCGCGTCGGGGTTTAGGTGGATGTGACGTCGGGGATGCGATGTAAGGATTGGAATTGGAAGATACCTATACCGCCTGGGTTTCGATGTCAAATGTAGTTTTGAATACAGAATTACTTGAAATCTGTTTTACTATTGAGATTAGTGTTATTGTTGATGTAGATTTATTTAATAAGAGTAAGGTGAAAGATTGTATTAATATAATTGGGAATATTTATACTTAGCTAGGGCTTTTTAGTAAATAGAATAGTTAAAATCTCTTATTTAGGGGTTAGGTTTATTATTCGTTATTAATTGGGGAGCCCCGTACTTAGCGTAAGGCTGTCGTGGTCTTCTACTCGTTATATCCCGTATAGATCATCGCTAGCAACATCATCGCTATCATCATCATCGTTTCTACCATCATCACTTATCCCCAACACATCCCTCACCTCCTTCAACCAATCCACGAACTTCGTCTCCGACTCTCCAACCCTCATCACCCCGTCCTTCACTCCTCTCCACCCTTCCACAGGCGCCTCGATGAACTCATGCGTCGGATCACAAGCTCTGCGTCAACGTATTAAATGGCGTATTTTGGTACATACACCGTGCACTAAAGCCACACCCAAATTAAATGCGACTCGATGTTTTACCCCTATTCACCACAATACAGCTTTTCTACAACAATGCCACGCGATTACTAGTTTAGAGGTAGGACTGTAACTCCTCCTAAGGGCTTAATTACCGAGATTAATCACAAACATCTTTAAACGCCAACACGCTCTGCCATTCTGGGCGCCAGGCTTATTTCACAGACCTGTAATATTAAGATTACAGATGCCGATATTAAGAAGGCTCTAGGAGCCTATTCTCGAACCCAATCGCGAGTCCGAAAAGAGAATACCTGTCGGACGCTTTATAATTCAATACTAGAGGATAAGGAAGACCCTCGAGGGCGACCTCGGCTAGTAACTCGAGGTTGTGTTTAAGCTATTACCGATTATATCGACGATAAATCTATCTCTCTCGAGGACCGTAGAAAGCCCAAGCTAGATATTGCTTCTACCTATAGTTTCGACCTAGATGTAGACCCTTAGACTATAGCTAGGTGAATAAATAAGGAGGAAGGTATTATAAATGCGAAGTGTATCGAAGAGATTCTTTTGACCGATTATTAAGCTAGCGTACGGCTTCTTTTTACCTTTAAATATATCGGTATTCCTAGCTCGGTTCGAGGACTTCGAGAGTACTCGATAGACTAGTATTAGGTTACTTTTTGCGATAAATTCTACTTCGGATTAGGACTATAGGTTATAAGGAGGGTTAAGAGGCGGCGGGGTCTTCGATATATAGCTCGGAACGTCCATCGAAAGAAGAAGATAACGACTAAAGATATTAAGGTAAAAGTAAGAGAAAACGAGCACCTTAAGCTCTTAAATATCTTCTTTATCGTCGGCTTAAATTATCGAAGAGTAATCTCGTACAAGGTCAAGAATAGCGTAGGCAAGATGACTTCTAGCGCTTATCGCTATCTTCTCGAAAAGCTCTAAAACGATGTCGAATTTAAGGGTTTAACTCTCTATTAAGATACCGATTCTGCTCACGCTAGTAAAGAGATTACTAAATAGGCTAAAAAGACTCAATTTCCTCTTATTACCGGGCCTGGCAAGTCACTAGATTTCTCTATTCTCGAGACTCTAGCTCATCCTTTAAAGAGGCAATTTCATAAGCGCCGTACGAATACAACTTAAGCTAGTTTTAATCGGTTTAAAAATGTGTTTATAGAGTATTATTAAGGCAGGATTGAGTATCTATATAAGTATTATACTAAGAGGCTACACGAGTGCCAAAGTCCTGAGGTAAATAGCCAAATGACTAGATATTAAATAAAAACATCGTTCTACATTTTAAAGGTCGATTCTTGGGTGTGTTTTATTGCACGGTGCATGTACCAAAATGCGCCATTTAATACGTTGACGCAGAGACAAGCATAGTTCCTTGTCAAACGATCTTCAATGAACAACCTATCGTAGCATACAACACACAGCAACTTAAAACAGTTGAGACATTGATATACGGGTCTGCACATATCAAAGATCCCCGCACCACAACTGTCGCATGTTGTTCCGGGCGAATGAGATCTTCATCCAGCTTCGAATTCGTCCCACCGTGAGCTTTCGCATGGTGGTGCTCGGTAGTGGGATGATCGTATGTGAACGCCTCCGGATTGACGTTAGATAGCATTGCAGACAACGAGATCTGTGCTAGTTGTGGTAGATCTTGGTAGGCGAGGGTGATGGCCAGACTCCTGAAACTCTCGAGGTCGTTGCTGCCTGTAGTATCTTGTAAGACATTGACATTATGTCGGGATCTCGCCCTTATGAATCCTTGGCCTGGCCAGTCTGAGTCGGTTGAAGATGGCTCTGCCTGGTTCAATTTGTAGGCGGCGAATTCCACATTATATATAGGATCGTAATGCTTTTGTCCCCGATTCCGGCGATTCATGACTGACCAGATTTTGCTTTTGAGCTGTGATAATGTATATAGTTGTGAGATTCTCGTGTCACGACTCAGGGCAGATACTTCGCCACGGGAGATTTTTGCAATATCCCGAAGGAGGTTGTGCTTTCCAGCTAGTAGGAACAGTACCCTGTCGTGATCATAGCAGATCCTCTGGTACTTATTGAAAGCTTGTTCAGGCCTATTAAAGGGGCCCTTGCACGCCTTGGCTGTTTGATAAAGAAGGAGTGTTGAATGAACGGGGTTCGGCGATTTATTGATTGCAGCAGCATCATAACAACAGAGTACGTAATCGACGGAAGAAGTAGACACTTCGTCAGCGTCGACTGCTGCCGCAGCACGATGCAGAATATCGTGGTACTTGCCCGAATTTGGTTCCCTGTCCTCAAAAGAGAACCTGGACAGCCATTCTGACTGATCGTCATCAGCAAGAGCCGTGAATTCTTCCATGACCTTGGCATAATGCTCGCCACCTAAAGCATCCAGACAAAGAAGAACCTTGTTGGATAGATGGTTGTACTTAATCGGAGTCACCTCCATGCCCCGCTCGTATGTCCGAAGCGCATTGGAATAGTCCTGCTGAGCAGCATAGAAGTCTCCGAGCATAAAGAGTGCTCTTCCTAACTCCTGCACCAAGCTCTTGGCACTATGGCTTGCCAGAGTCTCCTCGAGTTTCTGACATGCCATACCAAGCTTTCCTTGCTTGCTTTCAAGCCAAGCAGGGGCAACACCATTTTCAAACTTTTGCAGTTCATCCTCGCTCGTCTCCAGAGCGGCCTTTAGTTCTGCGGCTGCTTCGGAAAACATGAAAGCGTGAGCTGCTGTTGCTGCTATCTGCCGACGGGCGATGGAATTCTTTTGGATGGCAGGAAACGCATTTGCGACGGTGAGAATGTCAGAAAAGAGATACCCTTTCTTGGAATGAAATTGGGCACGGTCAACCAGAGGGACTTGATCAGTCTGCGAGGAGTTAGCACTACACGAATGGAAATTAGATTATCGATAAATCCCATACCGTGATAAGTAAGCCGTGAGCTCGCTTGAACAAGTCGAAGCTAGTAAACTGTTGATCCAAGTAATCTGCTTCTAACCCATTGTTTGACGAATCTTGAAGCCATTTTCGTCCAAATCGAAAGAGGGCGATTGAGCAGTTGGTTCACTGCAAAACGATCAAAGCCCTCGAGGTTTGCCTCACCAATGTTAGAGACTCTCCTCAGCCATTTTAGGATCAACTCTCGAACTCTGCTCTGGGGTTCATTGTTCAAACCCAAGTTCAGGTAGCTATAAATCTGATTGTTTTTGATAGTGAGAGGAGACTCAGCCTGTTGCAACATGTTAATAATGGCAATAACGAGGTCTTTCACTTCGCCTTCTGTGCATCGCTCATCACACACGTCAAAGAGATGATCAGCCCAATGCACAAATGCATATTTCCGGAAAAATCTCCCTCGAGGCGTACGATCACACGTTGCTTTGAGAGTTCGTAATGCAAGTTCGAGCTTCGAATCAGATAGCCTTGTCACGAGGGGTGGAACACTGTCCGTTTTCTCAGCACGGCCGAGATAGTCGCGGAAAGCTGCGTGAACGAGCTCAACTCTTACACGAGAAGCTTCCTCAATTTCTTCATTTTTCTTGCCGTTTTGAGATGGGTTCGAATCAGAATTCCAGTGCAAGTCAACGTCGGAGTCGGATCCAGGATCTTCTCCATCTGACAATTCTCGGACAGCAGGTTCGAGAACGACCGATGGGTTTTCTGTGCTTTCAATCTCCGCTCCGATTCCATCGTCATTGCCGTCGACATTGTGATCCTCGCCCGAGAAAGAGTCCACTGATGCGGAGTCGGCATCATCGTTCTCGTACTCCTGCTCTGACTCCGATCCGTCCCAATCGCGATCATCCTCAGACTCATCGGATACTGGCTCCCTCCAAAAGAAGATGCTGTGTCTCCGTGAGTGAGGTATACCTGGATTACGTACCAGCTGCACATACCTAGTACATCGAGTATTAATGATTTTTGGAATGGAATAGTCTGTTTCTGTATCGTAAAGACTTTGTAACTCCCTGAAGCTCAGCGGTTCCTTGACATGAAGTATTCAGCGAATCAGCGTTCCGATGAATGGCCGTTCGCGGGCGGGAACTTTCCCAAAAATGCGCTCGAGGACCATTTTGTACATCTGATCTTGACCTTTGGGAAGCTTTCGAAGAGCATACTTCATAGATGAACCTTCATGCGTTGAGAGCAAGACGAGAACCGGTGTCACGTAAAGCAAAGCTCCTATTCCTGTTTAATCATGCCATATCGATGCCTCTGGAAACGTTTCTGACATACCTTGAGATGCTCTAGCAACGGCTTTCAAAATAGAGGGTCGAAGATTGCCTTTCAAGACCCTGAATTCGTCCATTGAATCATAGGTGGCTCTGACCAGGCGCTTTACATCAGACATATTGCTGTCCCTATTGACTGTAATGATGCTTTGACCAGTCGTGTCCACAAGGTCCAAGGCAATATGGACCTCGGGTCGGCCAAGGATGGCAACTTGGATTTTGTGTGGTTTCTTTGTCAATTGTATGAGTTGGTTTGTCAACTCTTCTCGCTCGTCGTCATCTGCCTCATCAATGCCATCGAAGACAAGCCATAATGTATCTTTGGCATTCTCGGGGAACTCTCCCACCAACCATTTGTTCCGCAATTGACTCACTCTGTCCCTCTTCAACATTGGGATGTCTAGCCCCACTCCATCATCCTCAAGCTTTCTTGCGACACGTTCGCGGAAGACCTCGTTTCTTTGGGCAATTTGAATGATGCAGCTTCGCAATGCATTCTCAACAGAACGCCTGTGCGGACTTGTGAACTTGAAGAAAAAGTATGCGATCAAGGTCTTGCTCCCCTTACCGAATTGATCCGATATATCTTTAATGATTGAACTGGCAAGGTGCGACTTTCCAGTTCCTGGGTCGCCAGATATTCTAAGGATGCGTGATTTCTGCCAGGTCCATTCAAGATACTCGGGTTTTTCGAACAGCCATTGTCCCGTTTCTAGGATTGCACATTTTCTGATTTCCATCAGAGGCAATTCAGATTTTGTGATAGCCCCGTCGGCCGACGGATCCAAATGCGTTTTGAAATGAAATTTTACAATCTCGAGCGAGTCTCTCGATAAGGCTGCACTAGAAGCTTTTTGCCTTTGTAGCTCTTGGAGTTCAGTATTGACATATGTTTCGCTATTAACGATTCGTTCACCTGCTTCGTTGCTTGCTGGAAGCTGAGTTTTACGTCCTTCAGTCCCCCATCCTTGCCAAAGAACTTTCGGAAACCGTTTCCTACTCTTTTTTTCTCTTGGTATGTTCGAGCGACATTGCAAGCACCGAGTATTGACCTGAGAGCAGCCACAAGTGCCTTCTGCACATTCTCAACAGAGGGAACTGACCGAAGTGTGTCTTCCAGAATGCCAAACGTGTTGAGAAAGTTTCCAATCTCAGTGAATAGAATTTCCAAGGCATCGAAGTCGTCCGAGACGGCATTTGAAGTCGTAATGAGCATTGTGATGCGCTATAAATAGTTGTGCTTGGGGGGAACGTAGGTGAAACCGACGCGGCGACCACAGTGCCAATAGTGTTGATCGGCCCCAATCCATCTTTGACCAGTGTCCTCAGCTTATCAAGGTAACCTCCATCGTGACGCCATTTCCCAAATGCCTCATTCTCCTCGTTGATCTTGTCAAGGATATCAACTACGGTCGAGGCATGATACCGGTCGATGAGCTTTTTGTCGATGCCCGATTCTTTCAGTGCTTTATCCCACAACCTCCCAACCTCTTCTGTCGGACTTGCTGGGCTTGCCATCAGAAGCAAATCGTCTACTCATAGAAGATGGAGAGGGGGAAATGCTGAAATTGTAGAATGGAAGATATGCATGTCACAGTTGCATTTCAGCTGTCATCCAGGCCAATAGGAGTGCATGATTGATATGTAAGATGAAGCCACCACAGCTTCCATCTTCTCAAGGCGTGAAGCTTTCTTTGTCGATATCAGCTCGCGTCTTCCACGAGGCGGTTTCTCAGATGCCATTACACTGAATTTTCAATGTCTATCAATCAGTGTCTGTACGGGTACGCTAATTAATGCGAGCACTTCGATAGTTATTTTGAACTCGGACATTTTATCTCAACTGCAACGGTGGCATATCACCTGCTCACCGCTCACTCACCGTTTGTATCATGACCAATCGGGATTTTTGCTGGGGATTCTCTTATTAGCCAACTTGAATAGGTAATATTGCCGCTTGCAGCTAAGGGGATACTAGGGAAATGTTTATTATAAGGTTTACAGTGAAATCAGTCGCCTAGTTATTCTTGCAGTATCAATATGTGAGCAGAATCTGGAAGAGTACGTACATCTATGGTATTATAATTATTGTATATTTCAGAAGTATAGATTAATATAATAGAAATCTGTAGATTGTTTTGCATAATTGCATTAGGGCTCCAGTAATACTGAAAGTACTGTAGAGGAGGTGCTAATTTTAGGGAGTTTTTTTGCCTTGTAGAGATATATGTATAACATCGAAGTTGTTGAGAATTGATCTATTTTCCCTGGGAAAATTCATTTGTGAGCTGTCGATAAATGTGATGGGAATTGAAAAGACAAGATAATTGCCGTCCTAGAAAGACATTGCTCGAAATAACAAAATCAAAGTGCAAGATAGATGGATTTGTGAAATGTGCCACTGAGCATCAGAGCATTCGATGATCGTCCTCTACAGATTTCATCAGAACAGTACAGCTCATCCACATTTGCATCTCCATCTCAACTTCTCAAATAAACCCACAATAAATCATCTCAGGATCATCGCTTTTGCCCAAAATCTCCTTTCACAAACACGGTGGATAATCTTGATCTTCATCCCCGCCCCATACGCCAATAGCGTCCCCGCAAAGTATAAGCTCGGCGCTCCTTAGCTTCGCAAGGACAATCCTCGATCTCAGATCGCTACCGGATTCACGTCTCGCGGTCTACTTTTTACACTTTCCCATTTGCACGTCCCATCCCAAAGCAGCCATCGTATTCCCGGGGGTTTGGACACTTTTGTGGTTCCACATCCAATCGTAAACCGTACTCTGAATTTAGCGCCGGATACGTAGGATCGCCGAAAGGATATGTCAGTGTCAGAACCTCTATGACGCCGATACTAAAAACGAGCTTGCGTACTTGACAGATGGACCACCAGTGGATTGCAAGCCAAGTTGCTCTGACGGCTGTGGCTTGGGGGATTGAGAGGTGTACAAGTATGGGCTTCTTGGGAGGAGATGTAGATCTAGCGACGGCGAGTAAGTGTCGTCCCGCACGAATGGATTGCGGGTTTGCGCGGCATCCACAGTTTGACCGGATGGGAGTGTAGAAAGAACTTTACCGTCATTGAGGAGCGGAGATCTTCATTATGGAGTGGGTGCGGTGGGATATAGTTGCGGTTGTCCTGCGTGGGAAGGGAGGAGGGTTTTTGTGTCTGATGCTTTGGATTGCGATATACATCTCATAATAGTAATTCGAGATGCGTTCATACGCTTTATTAACTTTGGTCGCACCGCTTGTGCTCGCATTACCAGCTCCAGCACCAGCACCGTTGCCATTTCCAAGTCCACAGACGAACAATCAAGAGACTAATGTTCTTACCGGTCTTTTAGCAGGTCTTGGGGGAGCAGTTGTAAATTTAGGAAGTATACTGGACGCAATTCCAGCGGTTCTAGGTGATTTGGGAACTGCTCTTGAGGCTGCGGATGAGGTCGTCAGTAAGTACTCCGAACTTACATGAAAATTCCACAATTAATCGATAAATAGGCGCAATTGAGAATGGCACAATATTAGGAACGGATGTCCCAGCGGTGGTCCAAAAGCTTTTCAAAGCTGCGAAACCAACAGCTTCACCAACAACGTTAACGGATGCTGTGAACTTGGAGGCGAAGGCTTGGGGTGCTACGAATCCATCACAGGCGCCACCGACTTCACAGAATATTCTGGGTAATGTTTTGGGATTGTTGTTGAATGGAGTTAATAACGCGGATATCACGTCCATTGCCAATGGTTTCGTAAGTTACATATCAACCCTTGCTACTTCATCTCCTGACAATTCTGTAGGCCATGAACGTACCACTAAGCAACAACAAAGCCGCCTCTCCAAACTTCTACAAAATACAGACCCTCCTCGGAAACGCGCCATTCTCAGTTCCCGAATCTCAACTCCTCCAAGCAATCTACATCCCACCAGAATTCACCGGTCAAAAACAACCCATCATTTTCGTCCCCGGAACCGGAACCATAGGATCCACGAACTTCCAACCCAACATCGGAAAACTCCTCTCCCAATCCACAATCGGCGACCCAGTCTACCTGCAAATCCCCAACAACCTCCTCGGCGACATCCAAACCTCTGCCGAATACGTGTCCTACGCAATCCAATACATAAACCAACTCACCTCCAAAAAGCCCGCCGTTATAACCTGGTCCCAAGGCTCCCTCGTCTCGCAATGGGCCTTCAAATACTGGAAAACCACACGCGCGATGGTCACGGATCTCATCTCCATTTCCCCTGATTTCGACGGCACCATCCTCGCACTCCTCCTCTGTCCCGGTTTCGCATCCGGCAACGCATTCGCCTGCACAGAAGCGGTGTTTCAACAAGTCTACAACTCGAACTTCATCACCACGCTCAAAAGCAACAACGGAGACAGTGCTTACGTCCCTACAACCACCGTTTACACGGCTACAGACGAGATCGTGCAACCCCAAATCGGTAACTCGGCGTCTGGATTCATTAGTGACGCGCGCGGTGTCGGGACGTCAAATACTTTTTTACAAGGCGCATGTCTCGCGCTTCCAGCAGGCACACTGTACGGCCACGCCGGCGTGCTAATAAATCCGACAGCCTATGCGCTTGTAGTAGACGCCCTCACGCACGATGGCCCGGGCGATTTCAACCGTGTGACTGCTTCTTGTGTGGATGTTGTGGCGCCGGGGATTGGGATTGGCGATGTGCTTGCGACTGAGGCGTTGATTCCGGAGGCGGCGTTGAATATTCTGAGTTATTTGCCAAAGGTGGCGGCTGAGCCGGCGATTCGGGCGTATGCTGGTGTTTATGGGCAGTCGTAGGGCGCTTCTTGGGGGTGTTTTGGAGTTTGGGTGGAATGGATTTTGGTGTTTGAAGGACGGTGCTGTTTGCAATGTGGTGTTGGTTGGAAAATGTAAGCGACAATTAATAGGAAATGAGTAATGGATTTTGAATACGTTCTTGCTCAATATACGGGAATCGAATGTGCAATTCAGGAGGCTGAAAAGTTCCAGCTAATGGCTTTGTGTCTAATTGTAATACTGGTGTTGGAGATCCTATCAATATTCCATTCTTCCTATCGGCTCTTTCATTCCTTTGGTCATTCTAATAACAAAGTCATTTTAGAAGAACAGAGTATTCTCCTCCTTACTTTTGACATCTTTCGTTGCGTCGCCGGGCTTCAGTGTTTAGTATTAGGTATAGTATACAAAGATACTCACAGTACCTTACCTAGGGCTTAGTGAACTGGCAAGGTACCATACCGTGATATAACTGGTTTTGATAGGGCTGGAAATAAAATTTTGTCTTTCGTCGTTTGAAATCGATTTTGCTGTAACAGCTGTCAGATGTTTGAATTTCGAATGATAAATAAGCGATGCGTTAATCTACGGGATAATTACGACTGTTGAAGATGATCTTGGCGTTTAACTTGAGCGATGAATTGGGTTGGAATAGGTATTATATTTCAAAATCATGATAGAAGTCTGAAAAGTTGAAACCCAGTTCATTCCTGAAATTTCCTACACGAGCTAACTTAATGGGAAGCCTAAGCCTGGTTATGAATTTTTGACACGAAGAGACTATTGAAACACCTGAATGTTCAAAGAATTCGACGTCACTTCGTAAGTGCGACTTAGTTTCGTATCCTGAAAGTTACCCGAAGCCAAGTTTCACTCCTATTCTTATTATGGTTTAACGTAAATTTCTCCGCAGGACATTCATTGAACACTTACTTCCGCCCCTAACATGCTTCTTCAGAGCCTTGAAAAGTAGAGCACGCTCTGTCTCTATTCGTTACTTCAAGCCTGTACGTATGCGGAGAGCCAAACTCTCGGTTATAATGCTGAGGATAACCGGTTTTGTCCTCGCCTTTTCTTCCCCAATTTTAGTTACACTTAATGATCTAGCGATTATGTCTGTTTAGCTGGTTTCGGATATAATGGAGAAACATTTCCTATTCCATCAGTACAGTGACAAGTATTCAGGTTCTTTGGGTGAATCTTTGGGACTGACGAGTCCATAATAGTGCAAGTAATAAAAGGGTTCTTGATGTTAGCGAGATGGGGAAACTTTTACCAAAATCTAAGTTCACAGATACTCAATAAATTTGAAATAAAAAGGAGGAGATGTGAAATACAACAAGAAACATGTGGCATCGAGGACGAGCAAATTTGCGGAACTATAAATGGTTACGGGCTATGAATGCTGCTCATTACACATTCTGTAGATGTGCTGGAAGCTGCTATTCGTAGACTGTTAATTCGCCACAAGCGAGTATTAATCAGTGAAAGAAAGGAATACTCAACCTACTCAAACCAATCATGAGTAGCGTGAGTAGAGTAGAGTAGATTATGAGTAGTAGACCCCCTTGAGTAGAGTAGAGTAGCGACTCACAGTACTTATGATTAGTTTGAGTAGTTTGATTAGTATTAGTAAGCCTCCGAATATAACCCCTATATATGTGGCGGGGGGTATATTGACTAGTAATTAAGGGGCTAGCCCGAGGTTCCGAGCTATTTAATTGGCTAGAGGTCACGTTTGTGGCGCTACTCAACCTACTCACACTAATCATAGGTAGTGTAAGTAGAATAGAGTAGATTATAAGCAGTGAGTAATCATCTTGAGTAGCATGATTAATGTGAGTAGGTTGAGTAGATTATAAATAGTGAGTAATCATCTTGAGTAGAGTATGAGTAGTAGTCACTACTCTACTCATTTCTTACACTGGTATGAATGTCCTCATAACTTCCTGTAACAGGACAAAGGAAATTCTCGCTTGGGGGATAGCGAGAAAGAAACCAAAGCTTCCACATATTATTCCGCTTCCTCTCAACCCCTCATCCATTTCTTCTAAACTCTTATACAACTACACATTGAATACCATACTTGACACTTATCATCATCAAGTTACCACACAATAACTATTGACCGCAACCATGATCCTCACCACTATCTTTAGCCACCTAGCTGTCCTAGCACTCTTACCCTACATAACCGCCCTGGCTGTCTCTGGTAGTAATTCCCTTCCCTATGCCGTAACACCTTGGACATTCAAGGGTGAAATCGACGGTAATTACTTTGAGTATAACGGTACTATAGAGGTAAGCATTCAGATATATTTTTCCCTGTGTTTGAAATTCCTACTTCACTGATGTTTCTAATATGGAATTCATGTCCACGCTGACATTCTCCCAGGAAGCATCGCAGCATACCAGACCCTCCATCCTGAATTCAATCTCACAGCCTACTTCGAAGCTCCCAATATAGCACACCTCCCATCTCTGAGTCCCCGGAACAAGGCCAATATACTCTGCTGCGCAGATGCCGGAAACGAATTGGCAAACCCCCACCTCAATTGGACACCCGCAAATCCATGGGAGATTGATTCCGGAGCACAATATCTCCAGACGATCGATCTCTGCCATACCGGTCCTCGACAATGTAACCGAATCTCCTGTTCTTACAAAGCGGCCATCTTTTTGTGCAACGATGTGAGTTGCTCTTCTTCACTGGTAAGGAGACATGCTGACGCGCGCCAGAATGACTATGACATCAGCCCCAAGTGCGCATATATAGCTAGTTACGCGTTGGATCTCTTTAACAGCTGCCGATATGTGAAGGACACAATCCTAGGTGTTTGCGGACAGGAGTTTGATACGGATAATTATAATGTTGTTGTAAGAGCGGCGAAATGTTAGCTACCTGTCGGGAGATTCATTCACTTGATTGGCTGGATCCCACGTCGGCTGTCCCAAATAGGTTTAGCTACCTAGGTAGTCACGGTTAAGGCTCTTTCCATATTTGAGCCTCAACTCTTCCATGGCTAATAATCATCCATATACTATTCAACAATCACACCGCATATTATGAGTTATATACCTTACCGTGCAAGTGATTAGAACTAGTAATCTACCTTTGCACTTTTGGAGTTTCTGATGCTGTGGGGAGATTTTCGGATTTGCATTATTTCGTTTGTTAAATCGTCGTTTGAACTTTGGAGTTATTAGACGGTTTTATCTTTGACAGAAATTTGGGTTGATGGTTGATCGACAGGATGAAGACATGAATTTACTGGGTTGATTTCGGAATCCATTCACATTTTATACCAACATTGTACCCGCATATCACGACGAATACACCGTGCCGTGCACACGGTATGACCTTAATTCTGATGAACCGACAGTTAAGAAGTCGGGGATGGACAGTTATCACGATAACAGTTCTCAGGATTCGGAGTTTCTCGAAGGTCTAGTTTTAGCAAGGTATCACAGTGACACATTAAGACCGTTTAAGTTACATTACGCTCTTTGAATCTCGTTCCTCACACCAGCATTCCGATTATATATTATATCCAATAATTGAAAGGACTCTTGAAACAGTATCCTCTGAAAGGCACTATTGATACATTCAGGTACAAATTCAAGAATAGAGCCTGATTAATGGAGGGTCCTTACACGTAAGTCCCTACTAACAGTCTCGTTCCGATGCAACTCACCGCTCATGGCGATTTTCATGCTTCAAATGCGGCCATTTGAAGACTATTCTCTTAAAGACCTGGTTAATTAATAGTATTCTTCAACTGTAAGAGTCATATCAAGGTGATTTTGAGCGCAAACCTATCAATACATCCAAAACTGTCCTCACATCTAACTCCCTACTCGCAACGTCCGTTCTTATAAAAAATACCGCTCATGGGTTTAGCAGTAAATCATACTCGTCTTCTAAAGACGGCGTTCCCAAAGACTCAAGTTATCTCATAGCGTGCAGAATGCAAAAGCTACGCTAAAGAACAGGTCATTAACCTGCTATCTAAAAATGGCCCGATCATTTAGGGGTATTTTGATTAAGGCTCGAAATAATTTTCCCTTGGACAAGAACCGACACCCAACACAACCAAGCAGCTTCCTTGCAACTCGTCAGCTTTTCTCACATGCGAGAAATCACGTTTACAGTCTACAAGAAGTTCACATATACACCTTATACAGTTGCGCAACTCCAGCGTAAAAAAGAAGGTAGTAAGATACTTGTTCATTGGTTATGTGTTTGTCAATCCAGTTTGACCTAATGCACTGTCCGCCGATTTCGGCAAAGCCAGCAAGTCTTAGACAAGAAAAATCAAGAATCCTTGCTTGACCTCCCCCGACCCATAGTGCATTCAAATATATATATATGTAATGGAGGCTCTCAAAAAGAGGACCAATTAACTCAATTCAAAATTCACTCCACTATCCAAGAAACCAAAAAATTCGCATTCAAACATCTTTCCCCATAACTTTCACACCCTAATCCAACCAAACGACATTAGCACAACACCCTCCATCATCAATCCCCAAATGCGCAACAACCTCCAACTTCCCCTCCAACTTCCCGTTTCCTTCTCTCTTCCCCTTCGGATCCCACCTCCAAACCTCAACATACCTCTTCGGCACATCCGTCAGCGCCGCAAACTCCACCTCCCCTTTCCCACCCCACGCATTTTCACCCATCTCACTCCCTGTCTCATCCAACCTCTTATCCCAACCATTTTCATCGTCGACATCCATAGGCGCAATCGCATTCGCATACCCCCCCGTCGTAGTCGTCGATTCGCGGGCGACGAGGTGAGTTATATGACCCGCTAGGTGTCACTCATCAGCCATAACCAGTCATAGCGAGATAGATAGAGAAGAGAGGAGGAAATAGAGGGATGGGGGAAGAGGGACTTACACCGATCCAATTCAAAAACATTAATCCACCCCGTAATATTCGGTTGACTAATCTGCGCGCGCGCCGTAGCCCAAACATACCTCATATTCCTCGAGTACTTGATTTCTGCGGACCAGTAGTTTGCGTTCGTTGCATCTATACCACATTCATCAACATCTGAAATCCTATTCTCCCCACACGCTCGAGCGGAAAGAAAAGAGGGGAATAAGCTTACTAGCAGGAATGGTCTTCCAGAACCCAACCTCTTTCCGTGGGATCCCACGCTCATCATTTTCAATCTCCACAACCTCATTCCCACTCTCCATAACCACATGAACCGTCCTACCATTAGGATGCGCGACTAAATGCCTCGGGTGCGTTCCATTCCTGTTAACCATCCACCTACCTACCTCTTCCACCCTAATTTCACCCTCTCCCTTCCTCTCTTCCTCACTCGCATCAATCCTATGCGTCCACACACTATCCCCATTCAAATCCGCCGCATACAAAACCCCCTCACCCTTCCCGAACGCAAGTCCATGAATACCAGAGTTATTAGCGTATTTCCAGCTCTGCTGCACCGCTTTCAGACTCCCATCTGGGAGCGTGCTAATCGCCTGTCCACACGCGTTTGGACCGGGCCAAGCGCCTGTGAAGACCGTGTAGGGCGGGTGGGAGAGGGATTGCACGTATGCGGATGTGGAGTTGAAGCATGCGCCTGAGGAGTTTAGGGAGGCGGAGAGGGAGAGGGAGGTCGGGGAGGTGATTTTGTAGGATGCGATGGCTGGTTTGGAGAATTGGGATGCGTAGAGGGTTTTTTTGTTATGCTGGGCTGAGTGTTAGATTGGATGGGATTAGGGGAGGGGAATGTACTGAGAGGGAGATCCAGGGGTGAGAACCGTCTGCGGGGATGGTGGCTGTTTTGGTTAGGGTGAGGATTTTGGAGTCGAATTCGAGGGCGTGGATTGAGGCGGGGAGACCGAGGTTGCCTACGAATAGGTGGTGGACTTTTGCTGTTGTTAGAGCTGTTAGAGCTGTGAGGATTAAGAATGCTTTGAGCGCCATGTTGAAGACGCTTATCATAGGAGATCAATTGGCAACAAGAGAAAGCAACAGGACGCTGGTCATATTATGAGGTCCTGACCCCTCCTATAAAATGGTACTCTACTTAGAATACATAAGGCAATATCTACAACATCTAGCTTTTATATATTGAAGATATGTGCCTGACCGGGTAAACAAGCTTCAAAAACACGGTTCCTGGGCGACGGCTGTTCAAAGTCAAAGTAAGCGAACGAGTCTGGTAAAGTTACATCGTGCTCCGTTTAGCCTACAATTGCAGTCCAATTAAGCCTGCCTCTACCGCATTGTGCAACGAAAAAGCCCCCAAAAAATGGCAGAACAATAGAAAGCTCATTTGGGATCAGCATTGCATAAATGGCTTACTCAGATGCCGAGAATCGGTACTTTGGATGAGCGGCAGGGATTGTGATGTGGGAAATGTCCGCGAGTGTTCCAGATTTTCGAAGAAATCCAGAACCTCTAAAGGCGATACTCTTGATGACACCTACCCGCAAGAGTTCCTGGCTGTAGAACCCTCAGAAACCAGAGAAGACGTCCCCAAATCAAGGTTTCTCGACATGACCAAGCCACCTAGATTGGCGACGTAAAAGCCTGTAACGACGTGATGAAGTAAAGCAAAAAGCATGAATGAATAAGAAAAATACTTTGAATTAGGAATGACTGAGAAACTTATCCAAGATTGAGAGGTGAAAATTTGTCATCCAACTCCGCTATATAACAGTCGTCGATCGTAAGCTACGTATAGCCAAGATTTTTAATTTGGTCAGAATCTTTTCTGACATCAAGATATAAGCATTCAATAGTTGGAATATCGAATCGAGTCGCTTTGGAAACCCGCACAGCACTCTTTCGCGCCTTTATCAAGTGTTGATATCTTCATCCATCAACATTCTTCCCACCGTACCTCTGAGCATCATCTTCCGACTCAACGTAAACCCACCTTGATCAGCCATCTCATTGAATAACCTTTCGCAATAGTACCACTCTCTACTGCCAGGTCTGAAAACCTCAAAGACAGCTCGAAGGGGAAACATTATCTGGAAATAACCAGCACTTCTGTGTGGTTCCAACAATGCATAGTCTGTCGTACGTACAATTTCGAGTGCCACATCTTGAATTGTTTTTGGATCGCCTGGTAGTAATAGTGGGAGATTCGTCCGAGGGATCATGATGCTAGCAGCTGGAGCTGTTATGTCGAACATTGGGCCCATTAAAAGGCGCGCCATTCTGTAGAGCTCGAGCAAGCAGGTGTTGTAATGCGCAAGTTCTACGGCTCGGGCCATTGATGTGAAATGGATAGCTGCAGTATATGGTACAGTGGGATCATTGATATTGATGATGAATGCACAATTCGAATTATGTGATTCCCACGCGGCGCGCCAAAGATATGTTTCGTACAACTGCGTGGTTACCCTTTGGCAGAGATCTCGGAACTCCGCTGGTGAAGAACGTTGACCGGTCCGCAACGCTTCCATATCTTCTAGCAAAGCGGGAAGAAGAGCCTTGATATCACAGATCATTGACAATAGGTGTTTCATTTCTGGGTGTTTGAGCCATGGGACAGTCCTCCATCGTTCAGTGCCTAGAAAGCAGGCTTTTTTCCTTTCCATGTATTGGTGTATGATGCCCGTCCGCGCGGCCTCGAAAACGTCCAATTCCGGTCGTGTTTGATGTCGCTCTGGTCCACGAGCTTCAATGAGACGGTGTACCCCCCCAAGATGTTGTATCATGCCACCAAAAGAAGATGCCATCATCTGGTGATAAATTAGTCAATGCCCCCACCAAGAGGTTCATACTTGCCTCAAATATGACCAAGGACAATGCGTTTGTCACCAATGGAAGCTTATATGCAGCTTTTGGATCTTTTAGATCTACACTCATCAATTGCAATGCCTTCGAATAGGATTTTATGCCCAAGTCGAAGCTCTTATCGTCATGATGGCGACGAGCGTAGTACATACTGCTCAGAGCGTTGACTGCCTGTGTTGTCGTACAGTCTGCCGTGCCCCTGTATCCCATCATAACCCATGGTATAAATAGTTTCCATCCTGAAAAGAGTTTGTTTAACATAAACTCTAGCTCCACCGTATTCCTGAACCCCTCCATCGACAGCATTGGCGGGACCTGGTCTCTCGAAGTCGGCTTGACAATCGTCTTCGCAGCCACCTTCTCTGGGGTCGTTCGTGCTTTTCGCTGAGCCTTTTGTTCATCTTCTGCTTGTACCGCTTCGAGATATGCTTGTCGCTTCACTTGTACTCTTTTCTGAGCTCGACTTTTCTCGTCGACGAACTTCAAATCGCGCGCATATCCTTCACAAGTAATCTTGGCCTTTTCACATCTGGTACACTTTGGATGGGTTTCGTCGCATTTCACACGTCGACGTCGACAGGTATGACAACCTAGAATAGTTAGCGCTGCCTCAACTCCATAAAGATTGCGCTCGTGCTCAATGATCATACCTCCAGAGCGACCACCAACGCCTACCATATTTCGGATATGAACGAGCGTTTTGCCTTGAACTTCCTACAACCGGTCGTCATTGCAATCGGGGTTTTGCTAATGTTCTTGATGTGCTGTTGGCGCATCAAGAATATATAATCAAATCCAGAGATCTTGATGTAACCCACCTTCAGCTGGCTTACTCGTGGATGTCGACACCAGGAATGATTTTCGTCTTGATTTTCTCCTCCTTCCAGAAGTCCGGGGTACTGCTGCTATGAACTGCGCATCGCCAGTGACAAGATGACGGCGATACAACAGCCAGAGGATGGGTTGCGAGAGAAGGATCAGGGCCAAATGTCTACGAGTGTTGGATCTGATCTGTCTTGGAGCAGCAGCAGGTAAGGATTGCGGCCCCGTGTTTCCCCCACAGCGGCTGCGGAAGGCTCGCAACGAAGACCAACAACGTTCCTTTTGCTATGCGCCGGGTTGAGCCTCGTGGTATTTTTATGCTTAAATGCACCAACAGGATTGGATGTGTAAGATCGTACTAATATACCTAGCTAGGAAGTTTCGTCCAGATCTGCAGGTGAGAGTGAGACTGCCCGCGACTGTCGCTTCGCGGCTATCGATGACTAAATGGAAGACAAACTGGTTCGAGCAAGGAGGTGTGGTGGGAATTGAGCTGATGCTTGGGGGTGGATTGAGTTTCGTGACGCCAAGAATCAGCGCATGGGCAGATCAAGTACTCGGCATTGTCGAGGCACAGTCGGCATTCGGAGATTTATGACTCCCGCAAGTCGGGACCGAGCACTGGCTCCGATTTGATGAGGAACGTTGCGTTGGCTTGAGAGTTCCTGTTTCTCGACTTCTTCAAAGTTAATTACAGCGTCCACGATTTGGCCAGCTGGAAGACTCTGGATACTTACACCACGTACGTCCCTCGTAGCGTTTCACATTGCAATCTGAACAAACTTGCGCGAAAATAGGTTTTATGTCAATTACTTGCTTGAGTTGCTTTCTACTCGCTATTTGTGCGTCCTCCTCACGAGGTTTCTGTCGTCATCCTTTTCACTCTCAGACAAAGTTCGCAAGAGTTTATCCTATCACAGCTCCGACCACTCATTTGCGATATGACAACCAGTAAACGAGAACAGCGAAATATCCTCAGTACTCGTAGGTATTCTTGCTTCATGTGACTGAAGCTTGTCTATCCTCACGCATTTTCACAGGAAAAAGCTTCCGCTCGTCGGCACCGACTTTCCAAATGCCTAATCATCATGTTAGCTACTATGGTTACTTTCTTGGTTTTTGAGATGTTATCTTACAACCATTTGTGTCAATAATGTAATTAACTACATGCACTGACATTGCCAGGTATGCAAGTATGATAACCAATCTCCATTCATAGCAGCCAGAAGAACCGACAACCATAGAAGGATCAAGCCCGGGGATGACATCTCCGAAAAAACGGCCCCAACAGTATCCCCAAACAGTGTGTTGCCAGGATCCCTCACAAGACAGGCTACCATCGATCTACAGGAAGTAAGTCTATGTTAATGCACAGATCACGAGCATAAACGGCATTGAACTTACGCCAGATAGAGTAGAGGCGTCCACCAACCACATAATTGTAAGTACCAAATCCGAGACAAACCTCCACTTGGTAAATATCAAAGTGATGTCCAACATAGCAATTCCGGACAGAATCATGGTATAGGTTAGTTTTGAGTCGATACTAGCGCCTGCGTCGTGTGTTCGTTCGATTTGGACTCCGACCAAAACAAAAACTGTTATTGCACAAGCAAAACTGAGTAATCTGCCTATAATTTGGGTAGTGAAAAGACAGGCACTGAGCCCGCAAGTCCCGGTATCCTTTAATCCCATCTTTGCTAGAGGTTGGTAGATATTACTGATTTTGGAAAGAAGCTTGTTTTGTGCCAGTGTGTTGACCGAAAGTCTGACCTCTCGCACCGCGGTTTTTATACCACTTGACTGTTTAGCATTCAAGTGAACAGTACCTCCGAAGCGGATTCGTCTCCGCCAGAGATATTCTTCTGATGATCACTGTCGACTCATTTCGCCCACTTTTCGCCGATGTTTTCATGAATCAACATCACCTAGTCTGATAGCCAAGAAATCCACTTGATTAGGTCTCGAACTTTCCATAAGTAAAGTCAACCTTTTGCCCAAGACTCTGGAGGCAGTAAGTCAAATAACATCTGTAGCGGCAAACACTTCCCAGTTACAAGCCGAACTCTCAATATATTGTTTCAAACCAACATTGAGGGACTGCAAATCCTGGGTGCAATGATTCATTTCGTATAACCCATCCATCTACTCTCCTTTTTCTTGACTTACAGCTTCATTACAATCGGCATAGGTCTCCTCTTGTGCAAGTGGCTATATTGATTCATTTGCCCCACTTTATTAACTCCACGCCCTCAGAACATAGAAGAGTCTCAGCCTTCACCTCCTCCATCTTTTTATCACTCCACTCGAACTAACAAACCTCACACTCCGCCTCAATCAGTCCTTCCATCTCATATCCCCCGCCGACCACTGGCCTACGTAAGATATCCCAATATGCGAGTACCGAGAACCAGTCTGCAGCACGCCCCGCCCCCGCGAAGTCGCGATTGTTCCACGCATATGCAAGCCATCGCATTCGTGCATCCTTCAGCCATGCAACCGTACTCCATATGTTGTGCTTACAAACAATTTTCTATTTCTGGCATCCCGAAAGCGCTCGTTCGCTGTGCTGATCAAACCTGCGTCGTTGGAGATCACTTTTGTTTGATCGTTCGTTGTTCTGTTTTATTATTTGCGACCAGGGGACTCAGCCCAAAAGAGATGTGTTGTGCCTACAGGAGAGAAAATGGAATATTGATAGCCTAAGTGGGCTTGTTGAGTGCGTTTTGGGAGCTGAGCATGTCTCTCGCAACGTAATGAGGACGTCTTGTTGGTCTTTTGACCGATAGGGAATACCTTGGGCTGCATGTCACACGTTTCTGTGTCACAAAGGATACACCACCACACCACCAGCATTTTGGTGGTTAACACGTCCTGTCATTAGCGCACCAATAGCATACCATCCGTGAAATACAGGGTTTAAAAGCTGGGTTGGCCGCTGGATGGTTGACATATTCTTTTTACAGGATACTTGGTCGGTTAATCCTACGTTTGTAGATTATTTTGTGTAACAAGAGACCTCATGATGACCTCCGTGGTCGATTGATGGGACTCTTAATCGTGTGATTGCAGAAACTAAGAGGATGCTGACGTTGGAACCATCGATTAGGCGGATGAAGGATTTCTGAGCTGGAGGAGGCCGGCAGCGGCAATGACCACGTTGAACAACATTCCAAACATCAAAAACGCATTTCATTGTTGCGACAAAAGGGTTCAAGTGGCAGCATTTATCCAAAGACTGTTCCAAGGTTGCGAGCACACTACATCAGAGACCCAGCAACCATTGCCAGTCTTCAGGTGAGAAACGCAGAAATTACAGGATTCTATTGAAACTGGGATTTCAATAGAGAAGGTATAACAAATCGAACTGATTCGTCAGCACTAGACAACCAATTCACGACTAGTGATTGCAGTATCGAGACACCAAGCAGAAACATGTAATTCACGGATGTTTTGGGGCAGAAGAGGCACGCCTATGTATCTCAACACCGGTTTGTTTCTCCAACTTTTACACACTAACAATTCTGATTTTTCAGTACGACATTGGCGTCTCCATCACCGATTGAATCATGCCTTCTTATCCTAGAACCCTAGTAGTTTTGTTGGCAGATAAATCTCGGGCACTCAGACCGAGTGCAAGCTTGAATTCTCCTGATGGGATCCTCCACTGCTGAGCCATCACGTCCCAATGGCTAATGTCCCTCCTCCGTAGGACCATCTCGATACTTCCGGATTGACCAGCCTCGAGTTGAATCTTCTTGAAGCCTCTCAAAGCTTGCACTGGGATCCCATTTCTGCCTGCCAACGGTGACGACACATACAGCTGAATGACCGTTGAGCCAGCTCGCTGCCCGGTGTTGCTCACCCTTCCCGTTACTCGCAGCATCTCCGTCCAGAGATCAGTGTTCCCACCAGGCTCGATTGGGGCAGCAGCATCTGGCAGATCGTTGGTCGTGTTTCCACCCAGCTTCACGACCTCTAAATCCCCTTCAACCTTAAAAGTCGTATAGCCTAGCCCGAAACCAAACTCATACAGCGGTTCGGTGTTGTGGGCGTCGAAGTGGCGGTAGTCGATGAGCTGACCCTCGGTAAAATCAGCCTGCCATTTGCTACTGTTGCGCTCCAAGCCTCCATCAGTCCCAGTGAGGTTGACGATTGGAGAGCCGTAATCCTCTACGGTCTTGGGAATGGTATATGGTAACCTGCCGCTGGGCTCGGTTTTACCCCAGAGCACGTCGACAATTGAGTTGCCAGCCTCTTGTCCGGTGTAGTGTGCGGCCAGAATAGCGGTGACATTGGAATTCTCTGCCCACGGCATGGTGTTGATGCCTGCTGAGTTGGTGATGACCACCGTCTTCTTCCAGCCGCAAAACTTTACAACATTGTTCACCACCACTGTTGAATTCCAGCTAAGCTCCAATGATGGCCGATCGTAGGTCTCGGCCGCCCACGACTTGAGAAAGACCAGACAGACGTCAGGTTTGGGATAGATTGATCTGAGGTCATTGTTGGCAAGGACTTTGTTGGAAGTGATGTACTGAACGGTTCCGTCGACTTTGTTCATTTGGGACTTGATAGCTTCTAATGGCGAGATAATGTATGGGTTTCGACCGCCTCCAGCACCACCTCCAATGGTGATTATTCCGTCTTCTTGGCCTTCCTGAGGAGTGTTTGGCGGCGCGACCACTCCCTCAGTCACGTCGAAAACTGCATTACCAAACACACCAATGTAAAGCATTGGCTCTCCCCCGCACGCGGTCTTGTCTGATAGTGGCAGTATCCCATCGTCATTCTTGAGTAGGACGGCTGCAGATGCACCCCATTTCCTGATCAACTCTTTGTGATTTGCACGAACGTCTCTACCAGGTATTCCACCTTCTGGTCTGCCTCCAAGCAGGCCAGACTCCCATCCATCATTGCTGATGGCAAGTAGGTAAGGCATAGATGGGTCCACAGTGGGGTAATCAGGGTCATCTTGTTGGAGGAGATAATATGGAGTCATAAGGCGTCGCGCCATCTCATCTACACGCTCCATGGTGACATTGCCTACTTCCACTGCCGCTTCGAGGCTTGGTCCAAAGTAACCGCCACCTCCATGACTGGTTTTAACCCCAGGCGGGAGCTCACCTGGCTGCTCCATATCGAGTCCTGCATTTGCGACTTTGCTTGTCGAATGAGTTGCGAACCAGTCAGAGACAACGTACCCTCGAAATCCAAGCTCATTTCGGAGGACTTGAGTCAGCATACGTTCATCTTCGCAAGCGTAGGTGCCGTTGAGACGATTGTAGCTACACATGATTGATGTTGTTCCTGCCTTGACAGCATCGGCGAATGGCCAGAGGTACAGCTCGTGAAGGGTTTGGTCGTCGATATTGGATGATACGGCATCCACAATAGTTCCATCCGGCATGACCGTGTCGCTCCTCATGGTCTCCTGCTCGTTGCCTATGAAGTGTTTTGAGGATGTCTGAATCCCAGCTGTTTAATGCCCAATGAGCGTGTACTTGATGGCCTCTCCGGAAAGATATGGATCTGGAGAGGAGCCTTCCCAATTACGTCCACCCTGCGGGTGACGTCCGAGAGGTCCTGTTGTTGGTCTAGACAGATATCAGAGAGAAGAAAGTGACGCATGGCTCAAGAGCTTGTATCTTACCCGAGAATCACATGTGCCCCTTTGGCTTTGAACTCGGAGCCCATGGCAAGTCCGCGCTCATACATCAGCTCTCGGTCCCAGCTTGCTGCAACAGTAATTCCTGAAGGAAATGTACTGACGAGATGAGCTCGGTTGATAGCATTGGGGCCATCAAGGAGACATAATCCAGGAAAACCAAGTCGTGAAACAGGTCTGATTCTCCCAATACAGCCTGTGCCGACGTCAAGCAAGGTGCCCGTGACCATCGTCACCTTCTCGGTGAGAATGAGCTGGGCGACGAAAGCGTGGGCTTTACTCTCTGCCTCGTTCCATTCTGCGGATGTCAGTCAGTATGTATTGCTACTTTGTGTGTAACTTGGAATGACGAACCTTCTACGCTGGGCACATAAAGTTCTGACAATTGGCCCGGATGCTTGGTGGCTGCGCTTGGGAGTACTAAGATGCTGATCCAGCTATAGAGTTGTACGGAAATCTTCATGGCTGAAACGAAAAAATGGCTGACAACGACTGGGAAGCTGGTATAGTTGCTGAGATGCTGAGATGCTGTCTTGCTCAGCAGCCCATCAACCATTTATACATTCTCCACGATGCGGGGAGATATAATCCCCCAACTTTGGTTCCCCAGATTCATTCGAACGGGCCGAATTGAATGAGACCATCATGAAGGTCGAGTCTTGGTAGGACCGAAATCTGGGGATTCTATGGCTCGGTCGAGTTCATACCGGGACCGAGACCTGGGGACTCCACGATTCATAAACAGAATGGAAGGCGTGCCTTGAAAGGTGGGGTAATATGGTCGAGAACGAGAGCACGGTCGGTGCCATATTTTGAGGTGCAGTAGAGCTCTGGGGAGCTATTCTGTTTTGGTAATCAGATGTTATGATGGGTTTCTCCTTATACTTGGAGGATCTATATCAAGAGAGCTACGACACGTACCAACGTGAGACCTCCGCTCTCAGGTCATTTGGGTATCAAAATTGGCGATCATCAAGACGAGACTTTTCAGAGTGTCTCTACAACATCCAGCGCCCTTTTGGCACGGATATGTTCTCGATTCGGATTTTACGTCGCTCTCCGCATACCGCATGCATGCAGGTGCAATAACTCCACATCTGCCGATACTCACTACTACCACAGCTCAGTTCTCAACAGGTATTCCCTAGCCGTATGACCTGGAGTAAAATAGTCTATTGGTCTTTGAACATTCGTATAGAACCTGTCAGGACAGAGTTGATAAGTGTCGACAGGATCTTCCAAAGCTTTTCTTATACGTCAGACGGCAGACTCGTTTGATCTGTTAGCTATACAGGACAAAATCATGTGCCAGTAGTGGAGCGAGGAGATTCTTGGTACTCAAAGTTATCAAAAATATGTTGAAATCTGCGTCTGCTTGAGCAGTCCATGCTAGGTGCGTGAAAGGCACTAGTATATATCAGGAAATCAGGTACGAATACGCACGCAGTGACCTGCAAAAACTAGCGTTTTGCAGAGAAAATGCCGCTAGGCATCGCATTCGTATTTTTATTGCCCGAAGCGGTAACCTTACGCTTCCATCTTTCAACACGGTGCTGCAGTTTGTCCCTATATCAACGACCATGCTAATAAGTGGCATTTATGGCGAGAAACGTTGCTACCAGGACGCTGTTTTCAATATTCTTTCAATCCGTCGTTCGTGGCTCCCATGTAGCTACACCAATTAATCCAATCATGCAATCGGGAACACAACGTTCGGCAAGGCGCTGCGAATCTTGCAACGTTTTTGACGATTTCTTTGGCCATTGTAGAGCAGAGCGCGATTTGAGTCGATCAAAAGAAGGCAATCCAGCTACGATGTATTGGAACCGAGCATTCTATAAGTCTGCATGCGATGAACATGTCGACCATAGACTCAAAGACGGGACGTTGCTGTGCCACGTTTTCCAGCACATCTCATTGGGCAACAGAAACCTGTTGCGACCGACAAACTCAATGACAGGCCAAGCGACCGCAGCGAGGCTGCGGAAGCCTTCTCAGATTCATCGCGATTCTGTTCTGAAACTTTCTATCAAGAGAGACATTGTCCATAAACGTTACACTTACTAGATTGGCATACTTTGACCAACCTTTCACGTTCGGGTGTGAGCGGGACTGAACAGAGGTAATTCTCCAACTCACCCCACTGATTTTATTCCCTACAGCCTCATTTATCGGCACTATTGCGTTGTCATTGCCATGGCAGAGCCGTTGAGTACCGCCGCCAGTATTATCGCAGTGATTCAAATCACTAGTCGAGTGGCCACTCTGTGCTATGATTACCGCGCTGGTCTCCAAAGTCACTCACGCGATATCAAGCAGGTTACAGAAGAGATAACGAGCCTCCGCGATGTTTTAGAATCAATTCTTAAGCTCGTCGACGATGAACGAGAGACTAGTGGACTTTCGACGCTGAAAATTCTGACGAAGCCTGATGGGCCACTGTCAAGCTGCAAAGTACAGATGTTGCTTCTCGAAAAAGACTTGTCGCCTGGTACTGGGCTTAGGGCTGTTGCCAGGACTCTCAGATGGCCATATGCTAGAGGCGAAGTTGATAAGAAGGTCCAAGAGTTGGGTCGACTCAAGAGTTCGTTAACGCTAGCAATGGCCACTGATCAAACGTCAGACCGCGTCCTTCTTATTGTTGAACATCGTTGACGTTTACCTAGCACTATCGCTTTGTCGATGCAAAAAGACACAAAGCACATCAAACTTCAAACAGATGTCCTTGCCAAAACCCTGGAAAGCAGATACAATCGTATGTTCTCGAGTCAAAACCTTCGTTAACAATCTTAACCATGTCCCACAGAGGAGGAATACAGAAGGTTTAAAATAATGTTAAATGCCCCTGATCCGACCGTCAACTACCAGACAGCAAGAGATCGACGAGATACTGGTTCAGGGGAGTGGCTGGTCAGAGATCAACGATATACGAAATGGAAGCATGCATCTGAATCGTTACTATGGATTCACGGCATTCGTACGTTCGCACTGCTGTTGCTATGACTGCGAGTATTTTTCAAGCAAGCTAATATTCTTGTAGCTGGCTGTGGGAAAACATTCCTCGCGTACGCCGATGTCATACACTAAAAAAAAACGCTAATGTGCCAATAGTTCTCGCATCATTGAAGACATGACGAGCCACTGCTCAACCCTCGAGGGAGCAGCTCTTGCTTACTTCTTTTTCGACTTTTCAGCTCCTGATAAGCAAACTTATGAAAGTTTCGTGAGGTCTATTGTTATGCAGATATCTATTCAATCATCTTCTGCGTGGAACATATTAACACAATTTAGCGAATTTTTCGAAGGAGGGCGTCAATATAATGAATCTAACTGGACCGTATCAATGAGTTTTCTGCTCAATCTACTGGACAGATATGTCAATTCTTACAACAAGATATACCTTGTTCTTGACGCCCTAGACGAATCAATCAATCAGGACATGGTATTGGAATTTCTCTTGGGCCTGCTGGCAAATCACACTGGAAAAATAAACATCATCTTTACTTCCCGACAAGAAAGGAACATTCAACAAGCATTGGAGGTCTCTACTGCTGAGATTATTGCCGTGACAGCTGACACGGTAGACCATGACGTAAAGCTTCATATCCAGAAAAGAATTGCTCTAGAACGGGGACTTCAGAAATTCCCACAAGCTTTACGTGACGAGATTGAACGATCCTTAAGTATAAAGGCCTCTGGAATGTACCACGCGCCCCTTGTGATTCATTGACTCGGAAACTAAAGTGCCTTTAGGTTTCGATGGGTGGATTGTCAACTCGACCGAATTCAAAAATGTCCGAAGCCAGGCGTGGTCAAAGTCATTCTGGCATCCTTACCAAAAACATTGGAAGATACATACGCTAACATAATTTCTCGTATCGATCCTATGTATCTCAACGATACATTGACAATCTTTCAGTTGCTTATCTACAGCAAAAGTATCCTCACGCTCGACGAGATTGCGGAAGTATTGGCTATTGACTTTTCTGAAGAACCAGTATTTTCGCCCGACCTTCGGTTTGTGGATGCTCGAGACATATTATCTGTCTGTTCATCCACGATTGCGATTACAGAGTCGAAATTTGCGACGACTAAGTCTGAAGTCCGTCTTGCGCATGCCTCCGTCAAAGATTTCCTTGTTGGGGGCGGAGCATCTTTTGCCCATGCAAGTAAAGACGACTTCAATCCATGCGTCGCACACGAAAAGATTGCCCGTGCTTGCATGGCATATCTCCTATATCTGGGCTCCACCAAGGTAGAACTTTCTACAATTGAACGGGATTACCCCTTTGCGAAATATGCGGCGCAAAATTGGGCCTTACATGCCAAACAAGGGGAGGATTCCACAAGGATTTGGGAAACTGCCACGATCTTGCTGAATCGAAATAAACCTTGGTATGAGACACTACTCCTTCTCCATGATGTTGATCGGCCATGGCGATGCGCTGTGAACAAGTATGAAATGCCAAATTCTTCTTGGCGTCGAAGGAGAGCGCCAGCCTCAATTAAACCTCTGGCTCCACTATACTATGCCAGCTTGGTAGGCTTTGATCACGTTGTTCGGTCAATGCTTGATGAAGACGTTGACGTTAACGAACGCGGGGGTTTTTTCGGGGATGCCCTATCTGCGGCGGCAGCACAGGGGCACCTTGAGGTTGTGAAGCTTTTGATCAAAAACGGTGCGGATGTAGACTCTGACCAAGGGTTTCAACGCGGCCCTCTGATGGCAGCTGCAGCGGCCGGGCATAAGCAAGTTGTTGAACAGCTACTAGAGGCAGGAGCAGATTACTCGAGAGGTCACTACCGTCTTGGTTCGGTATTAGTCGTCGCTATTCGAAATGGACACGAAGATGTCGTCCAATTACTTATCGACAACGGCACAGATCCCTCCCGCCGTGTAGGAAAAGGCCAGCTTCCAACATATTACGCGGTTACTTACGGATATCCTAACATTCTCAAAATTTTACTTAGCTCTGGTGCGAAGTATGAGAGAAGCTTGCTGGACGACGCGGCTACCAATCACAACGAGCGGGCCATTGCCATCCTGAAGGAGCACTCAGTAAGACATGTTGACAGTTACCCCCTTGCCATAGGAGGATTAAATCTTTCTTCTTCCCAAAACAAGACACAGGATTCAACCGATTCGGATCAACCTTCACTTCAGAGCGCTGCAGCCGGTGGTCTTGAAGCTACAGTTGAGCAGCTTCTCAACTCTGGCGTTGACGTTGATGCAACCCACGAGTTTGGTTACTCTACTGCCTTGAGCGCGGCGGCTGCTTCAGGCCATGTCTCAATCGTCAAGTTACTTCTACGGCATGGCGCTGATGTTAACGTCAAACCTAAGTACGGGACCAAAGCAATGAATGCAGCATTAGGCTGTGGGCACCTTGAAATCGTGCAAATCCTTCTCTCGGCCCTATCGACTGCTAACATAACGGTCAACGATGATGAATATGGACATTTGCTAAAGGATGCTGTCACTTCGGGAAGTCTAGCGATTTTGGAGGAAATCCTAGCTCTTCGAATGGACGTAAACATGACGCACGCTGCGATTCTCACACGCCGGGGCAATACTGCTCTTGGAGCTGCCGCATGTATTGGCCACCAAGATATGGTGGAACTTCTCTTAAGTCGTGGAGCCGATGTGAACCTTCGCACAGAAGGCATGTACGCGTATGAGGGAGCTACAGCATTGAGTTGTGCCGCGTACTGCGGACATATAGATATCGCTAAACGCCTTTTAGATGCCGGTGCGGATATAAAACTGACGAGAGATGGGGGTGGAGCAACACCTTTGCGCAACGCAGTCGGACAGCATCAATTGGCAATGATTGAACTTTTACTTGCAGTAGATAGCACTACGGATTTCGACGGACACGCTCTTCAAGTAGCAGCCAGAGCTCCACTACATAAGATTGATGCTCTTCAAATGATTCTGAAACGTTATTCTGAGCTGGACATGGCTTACAAGACCGCAGAACCTGAAGCGAAGACCACTCTCTTTGAGATAATGCAAACTGCATTGCTGACTGCGGCAAGTTCAGATTGCGTGCATTCGATCCAAGAACTAATGAAGTACGGAGCTGATATCAACTGGCAAGATGATAGAGGTTATACTGCTCTCTACGAAGCCGCTGAAAAGAATTGCGTGGCGACGGCCAAGTTTTTGATCGAAGATTGCAAAGCAGGCCTTCACTCCAAACTTCTGAATGGCAGTCTCCCCATCCATATCGCCGCTCAATACGGCAGTGTTGAATGCCTCGAGTACCTTTTGGAGCTGAATGAAGACATAAATGCGGTCAACGACGAAAATAGAACCCCCCTTCATGCAGCGATTGACGACGAACGCGAGGATACCGTAAAAATCCTGATAGAGAAGGGGGCAAGAGTGGATATAGCAGACGTGGATGACATGACTGCGCTTGATCTTGCGGAGTATAGGCAAGCAGAGAAAAGTAAGGGCGAAATGGGCTATTACTATGGGGAAAGGCCGAAGAGAATTTTGGAGATTGTCAAAGGAGTGAAGGTGGAAGAGGTTGTTGGTGTGACAGTAGTGTGATAAGCAGCAGGTGCGTCTGCAAAACTGCGATGGATGGTCATGGAAACAAAGGAGTCTCTTGGTGATAAATGAATGTTACTGTTATATCGACAAGTGACAGATACGTCTTTTTGAAGAAGAGCATTGAGCTTTCTGCCACTTGGTAGATCCTCACAACAATCTTTGATACTACTTGATTTACTACAACAAGAATGGAAGCAGCATCCACTCACTGAGCTTCTCTTTCTCATCGAGGACAAATATGTATGGTGGGAGCAGATCTGGTAACGCACTCTCCTGCCAAGCAGTGAACAAGACAGCACGATCGGCATAATTGAATAGGTAATCTTGTTCTCACTCTCGAAGAGCCTTATGGAAATGACTGGGGTTTTCACCTTGGGCGGTGCGAGAAAGCTGTTCGTTTTCTCCCAGGTAGAGCTGAACGGGCGAAGATTTAATCCTCTTGCACACCTGACTCAAGGTTTGAAAGTTAACACGAGGCCTCTACTGTAGTTTATCTAATGAAAAACTCTCGCTATAGATATATTCAAATGAAAGGAATAGGTAACAAGGTCGAAAGGCTGAGATGAATGTGATAAATTGTAAACAAAAGTGCGGCAAGTGGCTGATTGATATGAGAAAAATAAATCTCTTTCATACCTTCGGAAAGCTAGGAAAGACCGAATACTGTTGATACAATAAGAGTGAATAGTTCGTCCTCACTGGAGGACATAGGATAGGGAGTAACGCGTTTATCGTCAAAAGAAAACATATAAAACTATGTGTTTGGGAATACTCACAAGTGACCCAGATCGGAGGAGAAGCGCTTCTTTCGTGAAAAATGAGTGGGTAGCTAGAGTTAATCGCTTATGTTGTCTTTTGCGAGGAATATAACCAATGTGTAGGTAGATGACCATATAGTTGAATTGACGGAAGGCATTTGAGATGTATATCATTCCTTGTGTCCTCGACTGCGCAACTGAAAGTGCCAGAGTTTCGTTGTGGGGACTGTGAACTGCTATGATATCCCTCTCAGGATAGTGCCTTCACGTCGCTTTGGTACACCTTATCCCAAAAGCATATCCTGTGAACCTTCGAATTTGACAACTCTTGCATTCTACACCCCATGGATATATGTACAACATTGTAGTGTTCCCGTACGAATCACACCTTCCCGACCAGATTATACACTCGCTTTTTATCGTCCAGCATCGCCCTTGTCCATACTGACATTGTTACCACCCTTTTTTCCATCCGAATCTGCCTTTGCGAGGAAGTCCCTAAGAACCGTCAGCATAAATTCTAACACACAATCCAGCGCAGGAGAGGTTGTGGCATCCTCCTCGTCTGGTCACCTACTTGATAAATTTCTCCTCGTCGCCGCTTGACGCATTAATTGGTGGTCCCTGAGCCTTCTGCACCTTCGATCCACCAGTGAACGACATTATTCCAGCAGTAAGCGTAGCAAGAACACCCATCGCAAGCTAAATCGCCAAGGCAGTCAGTACAATTCCTCAATGGCGTGCCCCAAATCAAACCAGCGCACCGCGGACCAGCTTTCAGGAGCTTCGGGATAGGGACGACGTACGTAGTGGGAGCCAATCTGGCGACCAGCAATTGTGTACATTTGGACCATCTTGGCGGTTGGAGGTTCGGAGTAGGTGGGAGAGAGTGGTGATGCGGTGGAGTGGCTGAATTGAGCTGGATATGAGGTTGTTGATGTTCTGGTTGTTCCTGTCAAAGTCGAGCTTGAAGGTGGATCCGGGTGACTAAGCGCTGGAAGTTCCGAATTGACAGGGGCAATTATTCGGCATCGTCATGGCTTCCGAAGACAACCGACACGCCTTGTTCAGGTTGCTCTCGTGCTTGTTTCTTCGTTCGATTTTCTAGTTCTGGACTTGTAGAAATTGGTCGCATACAGTTTCTATATACAACTTGTTTGACCTGAGGATCGACTCTATACAATGGCTGGGAATGATTCAGACAAGAAGGACATTCGCGGTCCGCCTCCAACGGGTCTACCCGCGGCAGAGAAGCTCCCAGCAGGACTGCAAAAGATCGTAGACAAATCTGATGCTGATGAGAGCTTTTATGATGAGTTGTACGAGGGAAGGTTAGCTTGGCCTTATTTCTCAAAGAAAATCTTCCGTGAACACTTTATTTACTAACTCATTCAATAAGTGCCCCCCAAACTACAGACACAAATCTTCGATATGCCGCATACTTAACTCGAGTACGAACCGCTCTTCTTTCGGCGCAGCGATATGTCGCATACACCTCAGATATCGGCGAGTCGTTCCGACCTGTCGCCCATCCAAATTGGGTACGAGCAGCGTACGGTATTTCCTGGGCATATATTGCTGGAGATGTAGCGCATGAGGGTTACAAGGCGTACTGTGCGAATCAAAGAGTTCTACATCCAGATTTACCTAGGAAGGCTGCGCCGCAAAATTACAATAATGCTCAGAATACTGTGAGCAATGCGGAAGCCATAGCAGAGGAGACTAATTTGCAGCCTGGAACCGTGGCACCGATAAATGATTGGAGGACGGTTATGGTGCAAAGAGGACTGTTCCAGTCGATTGCATCTATGGGACTGGTAGGTGCATTGGCTGGTTATGAGAGGTTTTAACTAATAATTTACAGCCGGCTTTCACTATCCACTCAATTGTACGATACTCTGGACGCGCTTTAAAGGGCAATAGGAACATCAAAATACGAACATACGGTCCAATTGGTCTTGGGTTAGCTGCTGTTCCAGCGTTACCTTACTTGTTCGATAAGCCAGTTGAGGAGGCTGTGGAATGGATATTCCATAAAGGCTTTGAGGTAGTCGGAGGAAAGGAAGCTGTTGGTACCTCCCCATCTACAGGACGCGAAGCCGCTTTGAACCTGGACCAGAAGAAGGCAGTGAAAGAGAAGGAGTTATAAAATATGTCTGAGATAGTATGTGGATGCGGCTACAGTATATATGGGAGCATGGCGTTGGGGTAGCTTGGAAACTCAACTTATTTCAGACTGTTGTCTGAGTAGTCCTAGGTGTAGGAGGAATACCACTTAGAAGTGATTACGAAGGACAAGATATTTGGTCGAAGTGAATGTTTCCACTCAATATCAAGTTGGACTGTGAATGCGTAGCTTAGGTACATTGGCTGCTCTGATAGGAGCTTATTAGGAAGTCAACTAGGCGTCAAATAATCATGCTGATGGTAGCACAACTTTCGGTTAATATTATCCACCATGATTCCTCGGAAGCTGAAGCCTAGAGACAACCCTCTAATTCAGATGAATTCTAGCTCAATACCGCCTCAATTCGAAACAGTCCAAGCCGACTTTAACAATAGTCTAACAAAGATCAAGTTCGGCCAAGGCTGACAACTGACGTGTAAGCGAACGGACTGTTCTAGAAATCGTCAGGCGAGGCTGAGCTCAAGTTGGAACATTGACGAATTCGCCATCTGCCTACTCACGACTAAACAAACGAACGGGACAATCATATTAATCATCAGGTCTACGCATTTGTAGCTATAAATATTCATTGATCCTGCCCAGGATGGCGTCCTCATCGCGATCCGAATCTCCTCCGGAATCCTCCTTTACAACCATGGACGAGAAAGATCCAACTTTAATAGGCGCCCACTGCCAATACACATACTGCAATCAGCTCGACTTTCTTCCCTTTCGATGCGAATCATGTCGCGGGACATTTTGTCTAGATCATCGATCGGAAACGGGTCACAAATGCGCGAAAGCTGGAGAATGGGCGGCAAGGCGACGGCGAGCGAATCTGGCTACACCTTCGTTAGGCTCAGGGAAATCTATGCTTCAAGTCGAGAAGCCTTGTGCGTTACCAGAGTGTAAAACGGTTGTTGGAACGAGTTTATCGACGGCAGTACATTGCTCGAGCTGCAATCGAGATTACTGTCTGAAACATCGTTTGAACGAAAACCACAACTGCAAGAAACTTGTTCCGATCGGCGCGCGACCCAGCAAATATGGACCACAACCTGATTATGCGAAGATTGCGTTGGGAAAGCTTAAAGCTTGGGGAACTGCGCAGAAAGCTAGCATGTCGCAACGAGTGCTGCCGAAACCAAAACCTTCATCGCCAGCCGCGAGATTGATTGCGGTGAACAACCTCAAGAAGACGGCGAAAGGAGACGTTAAACTGCCGCCTGAGAAGCGCGTATACATGTATGTGGAAGCTGAAGCTGCGACCACGAAATCGAAACTTCCAAGCGGCGAGTTTTACTATTCGAAGGATTGGGTCATTGGACGAGTTCTGGATGCCGCGGCTAAGAGTTTACAAGTTGAGAATATCAATAATCAGGGCACGGATGAGGCTTCGAAGTTGAGAGTCTTTCATGTTGAAGGTGGAAGACTTCTGGAGTTTAGTGAGAAGGTTGGAGATTCTGTGGCTAGTGGCAACAGATTGGTGTTGTTACGCGGTGTTGGACCTGCGGTTCCTGATCTGATTGAAGCATGAGCGAATCGAATGTTTTATTTCATTTTGCATCAAAGCAGCTGGAATACCTGCATGTACGTTCAGCATAGCGCAGGAGTTTGGTTCGGTTTATAGTATTTAGCTTGGAGCAACATGGGGAATTTGATACCACTATCTATCTTATACTGCTACGCTTTCTTGTGCGTTTTCCTTTGTGGTTATATGTTTCCCAGTACAGCCAGTGGCTTGATAGCTATACAAGCAAGGTGTTGCATATTTCTTGACTCGATCTCTCAAGAGTGGGAGGTCTTGGATATTCACGTTCTGGCAAAGAGCCTAATATGTTTTCCATACGTCGTCGGCGCTATTTTGCAAACTTATATTTCCTGTCTTATACGGTTCCACTTCCATTGAGCTTGCAATCACTTGCATATGCACCTTTTATGTCGATGCTTCAAATCCATAGGTCAGCTCGGTCGTGTGGCTACGCGGCTCATATCTGACTCACCGTCCTTTGCCTTTAAATACTTAGCAAAAGGCAATCATACTAGAGCATTCAACATCTAGCAATTACGTTTTGGCATTTCAATCAGTAATTCTAGAAAATACCGTTATCTTTCGAGCTGTTCTTCGGCAAGATGGCTTCCTCAAATTCTAACTTCAAAATTCTTTCCCAACCACCAGTCGGAAAAACACTCTTGAAATATGACATTAAACAACATCCCCAATCACAATCCCTTGAAATTCCTCCAGTCTTCATCGCCGCCGTTCAAGCCCGCGAGGATGTATTCGTTGCAATGTACGACGAACTTACCTTTGAAAACAACCTCGACTACGACGACCCCAGATCAATCCACTTCGTCGCATTCTCGAACACTCCAGATGAGGAAGACATAGAGCCAAACTCCATCACCGACATCCAAACCCGGAACAAATTCGTATTAAGAGCAATTGGCACTCTCCGCTTCATCCCCTTTCCCCAATATCATCAGCACCCGCCTCCAGGAATGGTCTTTGACGCCGACTCCCTACGAGCAAGCGCGGCTGTAGAGAATTCTGCTGAGCTCTTCCTCGGAATCCCAGAATACAAACCAGACCGCCCAACGAAATTTCACGACGGCATCGAGGCGTACATTAAAGTAGGTCGGATGTGCGTGATCAAGGAGTGGCGTGGGAAGGGCGTGATGGATGAGTTGCTACGCACTGGGTATAAATGGTTAACTGAGAATAAGGGGTGGACGACGGGGACTATTGGTGGAGAGGAGAGGTTTGGTGGGTGGAAAGGATTGATTTGTGCGCATGCTGATATTAATGCGAAGAGGAGCTGGGAGAGGAACGGGTTTGTGGTTGATGAGGATATGGGGTGTTGGTGGATTTTGGGGATTCAACATATTTGTATGTGGAAGAGGATTGAGTTGGATTGAGCGGAGGAGATATGAGGGAGTTACTGTGATCGGGGTTGGAAGATGTTTGATCTAGGCTCTTATTCCAGGAATAATTGCTTAAACATCGGTGATCTATATGTTATTAACTAAACTCTGAGGAGAACGAGCATATGATGTGGCAGTAGATGCTGCAAAGCTATTCAATCATGGAAAAATGTACATGACTTCTCCAGGCTTGCAGCTACGTGCTGGTTTAGTAGGCGACCTGGTATTTTCCATCGTCCTGTAATTCTTACCGCAACGACTCTTTCACAGCACTAGCTTACCAACATTTCAAGAGACCCATGTGTGAATCTATGTCTCTTCATCTCAAAAGGAAATCATCACCAGGTGATAGTTCTTGGGGAATGAGAAGGTTGTAATGGAGGAAGCCGAGGAGTGAGAGGAGGATTTTGGAGAATGTGTGTGGTTTGCTATAAGTGCGTAAAAGTTGCATCTTCAAGGAAGTCACCTTGGATTTTAAAAAGATAACTGAACATCCCGCACGAAATCTTCAGCAAGTTTCACCTCGATCACTCGTTTCGTTTCCATCTAATAAGATTGACAAATCGGCTCGTACTCCGTACGGCGGAGGACGTCCCTCTTTTGCCTCGGACCGAGAATTTCGTATTTCGTAAAGCTTTTCGCGAGCCCTGTATCTCGCTTTGACTCCCTCCACGAACCTCTTCCTCTCAACATCAACAACCTCATCCCTTGAACCTCCCAATCTATCGACGCCGACACCCTCACGGACCTCGCAACAAGCCACCTGGTGCCCATCACGTCCCGCTCACTGGCACACCCGTCCCTTGCATCGTCCGGCCCATGCCGTCCGAGCGACCCCATTTCCCGGGGCGCCATGCTGAAAGGCACAACAACAGTCCGCATTTTTAGAATGCGATACCGAGGCAAAGGTCCAGGACTTCCATGCGAGAGTAAGATCGCTTTGGAAAAATCATGGCATCAATTGTTTCATGGATCAACTGTATGATCTCATTGCCTGTTTGGTGGGACGAAGAGCACTTGATATTCAAAAAAAGCAAAATACTTCGCTTACAGCTTCTTTATTGAAACCCGTTTTTTGAACATATATTGGGTCGAAAGCAAGGATTATTTCCATGTGATTTCTATATTTGTCGATTGTTGCAATTCGCATACCTCCTGGTAAATTGCTTTTTCCTTGTTCTTTGCTGCATATTTGGTTTACAGAGCCCAGAACCATGGTAACATTTACGCTTCAGGCACATTTGATCGTCTTTTCAGGTCTGGATTCCATGAATGCCAAGGCAACACTTCTCAACTCAGATGTCTTGCCTGGAAATGCCCCAGCCGAGTATCAATTCCTTGCCGCTATCGAACCGCCTCCAAAAGACACAAGGACTTTTTGCTCTTGCTTTTCTTTCAAAACCCTGCTGTTTATTGGCGATGATACAACGGATTTGGTTCTTGATATCGAACTTTTGTGAACCTCAACCCTATATTGAACCAATCGATGCTTCAACATCGACTACAACATCGAACTACACGAAGGGTTCTCGGGACTCATCATAGTAGATATGGTAGACTCTACTTTAAGGAAGCGAACCGCCTCTGTGAAGATATTTAGCTCCGGTATTGGCTTCTAGACGCTGGCTTTTCTACGGATGCTTGATCGAGACGATTATTTCGTTCTTTGTTGCAAGTCGAAGACTCATCGGATAACTTGCTTTTTCCTTGTTGCCCATGGATCATTATGGGCAATTACGCTTGATCATCTCTCGAAATGGACACCGGTCATGGCTTGAAGATCTGGCCCCGGTACTTGTCTATCAGTCCTGCAAACGCGTCTCGATCCATCGATATCAGCACTTTGTTGCACATCGAAGCGCAATTTGAATTACTAGCCTCTTCCCGGTCATCCAGGATAGTCGATATATCACAGAAATCTTACAGCTCCTCTGAGATATCTAGGGATTTTATGCGTCTTTGTTGCATGTCGAAGGCGTCGAATCTTTACACCCCTCTTCCCTGCAGCCCAGGATAATTCGATAAATATCAGGAATAAACATGCTCTTTTGGAGAATTGAAAACGCCTTGAATCTTTGTTGCACATCGAAGGGCTTGAAAAATTACACCCCTCTTCCCTGTCCTGCATGGAAAGTTCGATACTTCTAGGTATATAAATCCCAAAACGTACTGCCGCCAGGGCTCATTCAAGCATAGCCTGTAATGTGCATTTTTTATTTCCGGTATTTGGAAAGAGGAAAACTGACAAAAAATAGAGAAATGACTTGTTTTGATATCTTCAAGAAATTTCTTCAAAATGTATTGAGTTCAAGGATGGCAGTTCGATATATTTGTTGCACCTCGAAAGCCCCCGGCAAACGTCCTATATGCGACCATCTTAGGGTCAAACCATCAGTTTGTCAATGGTTGCTTGAATCCTTGAAAACTCAAGGGCTTACAACAATTGTTTTGTTTCGTTGCAAATCGAACTTACCCATGTCCATGACATGGTGTTGTCCTAGTGGTACAGGTACGGTTGTGCTGTTGCATTTCGCAGCACCCCTGCCCTTGACGCCTTTTGCCCTCGGTCAGCAAGTGCGTCTAACAATCCTTCTTGTTGCATTTCGTTCTCCCCTGCATGTTTACTAGTTTTGGTGCTACCTTAAACTGCTAGGATTTCTAGGATGAAATGTTAATGTTGCATTTCGCAGAACCCTTGTATGGTGGTGGACTGGCGGCACAAACCAACCGCCTGGCCCTAGGCCCAGTGTGGACATTTTGGTGTCCTCACTTATTAGAATCATACGCAGACGATACTAATATATCATTATCAGCAGCGTATGCTTGCTGGCAAAATTCATCAAATGTATCTTTGAAGAAAGCAGCCTTAGGAGGTTTGTCCGCAACCGATTTCGCATTAACGTTGATCACATTGCGGCTTTTGAAAACGATTATTCAGAAGGGTGCAATTAGAATTGTGAAATCTAGTGAAGGTAATGATCCATGGCGACACATTAATCTCTGTCGCTGGAGCTTGTACTGCCGACGACAGTTGCAATATCGTGAAGTGATTCAGATCGGCGCATCGCCTGGCACTTCACCTTGATGGCTGTGGGAATGCAATACTACTTGAATTCCATTCGTCCCGAAAGCTGTGTATCTATAATAACGAAACATAATTACCAGCAGAACGGTCACCCTCTCACGACCGCATTTGTTGCACATCGAACATGCGGGGAATAAACCCCCTCAGCGGCGCACTTTCATTTCTCTTGTTGCACATCGCCATGAGGGGAAGCAGAAACTTTTTCGATTAGTGACGCTCTTGTTGCACATCGATAATGAGGGGGAGGAGGGGTTGAAGATATAATGAGGGGCTGAAGAGGGGTTACCCCCTAGAAAGAAAAAGGTGAAGATCGTTTTGTTGCATGCCGATGAAATGAGGGGTAGACAGTTTGCTTTTGTACTTTTTGCGGTTGTATTATTTTGTGAGGAGGTCGAAGTTTAAGTTATTGTCATGATGGAACTTTCATGGGAGATACGCATTCGTGGGTGTTGTGTGGTGCGATGGGCTAGACTACGGGGACATGATGACGGGTCATTAGTGCGTCGGAGTTGAAGGATCAATGGCTTTTTTTCTCGTTGATGACACGGCCTTGCGGATTGGGCTGTAGGGCTGATGATGGAGGATTTGAGGGAAATGGGATCATCGAATGACGTGTTGATTTTCACGCACTTTCTTATGCAGAGGAAATATTTTGCCCTATGGGATACAGAGATTCAATTACTTCCTTCGAAAATATCGTCAAAACGGTAAATATGACGGCTTGAAAAGAGAAACGCCTTTGGAGGATGGTCCACTTCTAGAGATACTCACATCGAGTTGATTTTTCAGTCAACCTAGTTCCAATATGCAGAGTTGCTGCCAAAGTCACTACGAAAAGGTTGGGCCGAACTTGGTCTCTAAACATCACTGTATCGCAAAACTTGGGAAAAGAATCACTTGCAACCGAATTAGCAGTGATTGATCACTTTGGTCCAGGCAACTTCATGTACAAGCTTGATTTGTGACCGTCGTCTTTGTTACCTAAGGAAATTGTCAACTCAAACAAGAAGGAGACGAAGTCTATTCTAAACCGAACCAAAATGACGGACTCTACGCTCTAGAGACCTATTGTAGAGGATACAGACAGTACCACAACCACTCATGCCTTGAAAGTTTCTCTCACCTCCTTCAAAGTGACTTTCTTCTCAACCAACTCCTTACCCTCCAGCTTCTCCAACGTCCACACCTCCTCAACACCGAGACCATCCAAATAATCCAGCATCCTCACATAATTTGTCCCAACTTGCGCAATTCCATGACTATCATCACTCAAAGTAAACTTCCCACCCATTTCCTTCCAAACCTCACAGACGCTTTTTCCCGGATACGGTTCCTTCAATCCCTTCCTCAATCCCGCGCTATTAACCTCCAACAAAGCACCCTGCTCCTTGACAATCTCCAAATTTCGAATCGCCTTCTCCCAAACCCTGCCACCACCATACGTCTTCAGATCCGCATCAGGTTCCTTCGCAAGCAACCGAATCAAATCAAAATGCCCGACAACTCTCGGCTTTAGAGCTCTCAACATCTCGTGCTGACTATCGTAATAATCCTCAAACAACTTCTCCTCACTCCCAGCTTTCTCTACGGCCTGCGCATAAGTCGCGGCGTCGTAATCAATCGGGATACCATGAACGTGATGCACGCTACCGATGAAGAAGTCAATCCGAGGGTCAGAGGCGTATTCTTGGATGAATGGTCCGTAGGACGAACGAATCCACTCGCCCTCAAAGCCGATAAGGATATGGATTTTATCTGCATACTTTGCTCGCAGCGTTGTGGCTGTCTGGAGGTAAAGTGTGTGACGAGGCGGCAACAGGGCGATTGTGTGACCTGCGGCGATCTGTTCCACAGGTTATTCGATTGTCCATCGTGAATGTGAGATAGATGGGGCTGTACTTCTTCAGGATACAAATCCTCCTCTGATTCTCGTGGCATGTGTTCTGTGAGAGCAAACGACTTCATGCCTCGAGCAATCGCTATGAGTATCACATCTTCCAAGTTGTCTTTCGCATGACCCGGACAAAATTCTCCGGAGTGTGAGTGCAAGGAAAAAGCCATTTTGACGTGTGGTAGGTGGTAAAGGAGCAAATCCTGTGATTTTGAGAAAAACAGATTGATTAGAGGAATAAGTTCAGAATGTTAAGAGCGGTTTTATGTCCCAACAAACGGAATTGTGGGTACTAGGTAGGTGTAACATTTCTTCGTTTGCAAACGATTGGCTATTCTTGACCCTGAAAATAATGAATACAACATGCTACAAGCCCTGTGAGAGAAAAACTTGATTTGCGATACACGAAGAAACATGCGAGAGATACAGGAGAGCGAATTTGCAAAGGAAAAACCGGCAAAAAATTACTCTCTCGAACTGCATGAACTTCGAGCACCAAGGGACTCGCTAAGTTGCGTGTTAGCATTTGCTTTTAGGGGATAGGGACAAGCAGTGATTAAACTTACAACCCTCAACCTCAGTCTTATCATCGTTAAACGATAGGAGGACCGCGCGCTACCATTGCGCCAAGCACCCATGAAATCTCGTTTTGCGAGATCTTTGGCAGACAGTTTGGTAACTGTGATCGGAAAATGTCCTTAAGTGCGTTTATATTACTCGCAATTAACTATCCAATGAAAGCGCTGCTGTCATCCGAAGATTTCCCGCACCCCACTGACCTTGTACGGTAGCCGGGGTTTATTTTTCTTTCCTATCCCAAACTTTCGTGCGATGGTAATAACACGATACTCAACTTGTTTCAACAACTAATGTTTTGTTTTCTATTTGTGTCAGTTACGGTGTCCTTCAAAACGTTTTCTGAAAAACTCATTATAACCACATATATCGCACGTATTTTTCTCCACTAGAATGAAAAGCAAAGTCGAACGGTCTTGCTAACCGCTCAGTGTTGGACCATGTCCAGCTAGCCGGTAAAGTCTCGTGAGAAATAAGTAGCGTTTTTATTGAGAGAAGCTACACCAATTTTGGTCTTGCCATTCCGTTTAATGCCATGTATTGTCGAAGGGAGCAAGTTAAACCAGTGATCTCTTTAAAGACGACAATGCGAATTTTTGAATCGGGCCAAGGAGGCTGTCTTGAAAATAACAACACAGAGACTTTGCGACAGTGATATCGAGAAACTTCCGATTCTTGGTCTCTCGATTGATATCTCGTCTCCTCGATCGCTACACACAAGTTCGGCAATGCTATCGGCATCGCCCATGATTATTCGAAGGATTGAAATGAGCAAATGTCATAAGCTGAGGCAGGAACAAAGATTGAACGATCAGAGTCAGAAGAAATGCCCTAAATAGTTGGACCTCTGCACATATTGGCCGAACGAAAATACAAGGCGTGTCTGCCATCGGCATTCCGGCGGACTTGAAAGAAGATTTCCAATTGCAGCAATTGAATAAAGCGTCGAATTGAAATTGAATGGTAAGAAATTCTCAGTTTCGGGGCTTATTGGAACAATCAACGCATTCGATTGATCCCACACTACTAAGATGAATCGTAGAATGCGGCTTGGAATATGATTCAGATTTGCAGATCAAGTTAGTCAAATCCATGCGAGACAGCGTATGTTAAAAAGTTATACTCATAAGTAGACGAAGAACTCACATCGATGAGTAATGAAAAGAAAGTCGGAAGCAGGCTCTGACTGGGATACGTTTCTTCCAACTATAAAAGCCGTTAACCTTCACCATTCCTTCCTGTCTGCTACAACATTTTTAACCCCACTTGCCATTTACGTCCACTACAATATTTGAGAACGATCATTAATAAGAACATCTTATTCCAATATGAGTGGAAAACCCCCCGATCGGGTTGGCTTTGTTAGTCCTTAGTTCACTGCCATTTATGTGGGTTTTCGAGTTTTGGAACTTGCTTTATCAGTCACTGTTGCTGGTCTAGTTGGGTGTCAAATACACCGTACCGCTGCTGCTGGCGCCCACGTTGACAGCGTTATCGTCTACACTATTGTAATTTCAGGACACACCATATGGAGTGCTTTGCTTCTTATCTTTCCACTCAACATGTACATAAATGATCTTACGATGTTTATCCTCTGGATGGTAGACGCCCCGCTTTTACTCCAAGTAAGCCCTATACACTTTCTAATACTGTTCTACACGAATCGAAGCTAACTTTTGTCATTAACAGAAACCCGGTGGTTTATCCTGTGACGGATCTTGGCAATACAATTACTGGGGTTATTACTGGGGAACTTTCTGGAGAGATCAGCCCGCGAATTTCGACGCCGCTACCGATGTGGGCTCATCAGGGTGTCAGCAATGGAATCTCGTCGTTATCTTTGCATTTGTGATCGCGTTCTCTTATCTGATTAACTTTGTAATTGTGGGTACTTTCTAGATACCTATATTGTCATAAATACGGCAAATCACTAACAGATTTGTTAGGGAGTATTGGACAAGGTTCTTCCATCTAACAGTTGGCGTATACTCAAAGGATACTGGTAACTGATTTCCAGAAATGGATTGCTATAGAAGAACTATGTGGAAGACTTGGGGTTCGTTCCTCTATTGTGGCGTAGGACCTTTGAAGTGTTTCCAGGTAGTTAGATGTGGGAATACATTAACGACGTGGGATTTGGCGCTTCGAACTGTTTTTCCTCGTGGTATTGATAATTAGATTTTCAAATTATTTCGGGGAACTCTTTAGATCTTTTCCCTGGCTTTCCAATTGTTCGGTTGGTTTCGCTACCTAGTTTAAACATTTTATTTCATATGCTCGGTCGGCGTAGGATGGAAAATAGTGGCGGGCGCTTGTCACCTTAGCATATAATGTACCTTTCGGGATTCTTATTATTTGATTGCAGGTAGAATATAAACTAGTTGTAACGGTCGATCCATAAATGCATACGCAAGCAATTCTCAACAGGATGTGGTTTTGTCCACTACTGAATAGTTATCAAATTGGAGTACTTTTATTCTTTCAAGCATTTCGATGAAGTTCGTTGTCAAAGTCTTACTTCCCATCGTCTTTCCAGAAGTGAATCCACTTCGGCTGCCACTAAAATAACAGCAAAAATTCGTGAAACACTAAATGGATTTCACTCAGACGGCGCATTCACCGACTTAGCTCAAATGCCACAAATCACCCACAAATAACTTATATTTTTCAACTCCTCTTGTCTTCCATCTTCTTAACAACCATTACAAAAACTAAACTGCTGGTAGCACCCTCTTCATTCACCATCCGTCCAGAACACAAACACTCCTCCAAAACGAAATCAGCAGCAAGACTCGTCAGTGATGGCTCTTGTGGGTCTACCAGCTTATGGTTCACGGCTTCATATGTAGGGTTCAGGATTCTCGGAATTGCTGCTGCCACCGTAGTCGCCGGTCTTGTCGGAACCAGTATCGCCAGTACCTCCAAAGCGCATGACTACGTAGACTCGCGGATCATCTATACTATCGTCATCGCGGGACTCAACCTGTGGGATGGACTCACGTTCATCATTCCATTCAACGTATTCCCAAACGTTTTCACCTTTTTTATTTTGTGGATAGTTGACGCTACGCTACTGCTCCATGTGAGTATCCTCCCAAGCCTCAAGCTGTAACGCAACTCCACTGAGAACATTACTGACGTTTTCATAATAGATTGATGGAAGTCTCACTTGCAATGGTTCTTGGCAATATACCTATTGGGGTTACTACTGGGGGCAATTTTGGAACAACAAACCTGCCGATTTCGATACTATTGCCACAGTTGGCTCTACGGGGTGTCATCAATGGCAGCTGGTGATCGCGTTCGCTTTCCTAGCAGCTTTCTCGCATTTCTTCCACGGGTTGATTGTGAGTATTTCCCGAAAAAGCGGAAGAGCGAATTAAATTTGTGATTCTGACTTGTTTTTTAGGGAGTGCTGGATTTAATGGGCCCATGCTTCGGCATTCACTCTAGGGTCTTTAATTAACTATTACCCCAATCGTGGAGGACTTCGACGCGTAAAACAACATAGTGAGATTTTCTTTTTTACATCTTTTTCAAGCCGAAAATGGCACGTGTAAGACATATATCCATTATGAAAGCGAAGCAGGAGATCTACAGCTGAACCCACTCAGGCTCTCTAGTCAGGCTCATGTGATTGTAGCGTAGCAGTGTGAGAAATATTGATAAATTCGGACCAGGACTAGTCCCAGGTACACACAAGATCGACTGCCGCGTGAAGGGATATCGCTACAGTTGCGATGTTGAGATGATCTTTCCAAACTTTCCCTGGACCATATCTGCAAAGAGATAATCCTTTCCCATAGCTGGCCTTGGAGAGTATGATGGCATCGCCAAGTCACAAGGATCTCGTTAATAAGTTATGTGCAATGCGAAGACCGCTATGATTTTAAAGAAAGGGCAACCTTTCAATCATAGCCAGGTCCACAGTTTGCAGCTGTCTTTGGTGAAGACACTAAGCTTTGCGGTTGAAGTGAAGTTTCCTCGTGGATGAACGTTTGGGTGATTCCTTAGCTCCATGCTTTTTCAGCAGGTTCCTCATCTCTTGATCGTCATTGTCTTCTGCCCAGCTAAGACACATCTCGCCTATGCTATTACGCGCATTAATATTTGCTGGAGGTACATGCTCCTCAAGAAGGAATCGTACGACATCGATCTGACGGCGATAGACAGCGACATGAACAGCAGTCGACCTAAACCGACCTCCAGGCGCTTCGACATTGACACCTAAGGAACATAGCTTCTTCACCAGAGGAAGAATTCCAAACGAAGCAGCATAGTACAGAGGTTCGCTTTCTCCTGCACGTTCGATATCAAGATTCGGAAATAAAGTGCAAATCCATGCAACGAAATTTCCACCACCGGGAACATTCCTTGTTTCGAAGAAACGTTCCAACAGCGACCAGCTTCGATCGGGAAAATCGTCTCCGATACGATTACAATGATAGAGCCAGAAAAATGCTGCATAATGGTAGAGTGGCCACTCTCGAAATCGCTCTAGACGTTGTTTGTGGTCAGAGTAACCATAGTCAAACGAAGGTTGGGAGAGATATATTAGGCAAGTTTCCATCATAACCAAGTGGGACTGTCTTGGATTGACAAAAAAGAATCCTGTGGGTCCGGTCTTAGTAGTGTTGGCGACGATGTAATCTTTTACGGAGAAGTGCGCCAATTGCACAATCCATGAGTTGTTCGGCTGCGTGATGGAAATTTCTTCCTCGCGATATTGTAAATTCATAGTCGGGTCTTTGAATACATAATCATCCATAGCTATGCCTCTGGCAAGAAGCGAAGAGCAAAGAAGCATAATATCTTCGGCGTTCAGAAGTCTCTGATTAGGATCATAGATTTGTTTGTCCAAATCGACAGCAAGCATTTCTGCGGCCTCGTGGATCCTTGTTGGGCGTCCAGAGAAAGCTAACCATTGAAGGAGCCTATGTGCACTATTTCGATAAGCATCGGGAATACGAAGAAGAACCATTTCATACGTCTTTGTGAGACTCTTGGGGAGTATTTCAAGCTCTTTGGTGACATCGCTGACGGTTAGACATTGCCGGAGGGTATCGAACTGACAAACAACCCAGCGGAACCTTCGGCTCTAATTAGTTAAAACTCGTCTTTATGAATTTCTCCGGGGCGTTACATACATGCCGCAAGATCCAGTCTCCAACTTTTCTCGAATTTGTTGCCGGACACTCGATGGCCACCTCGATAGCTTCTGGTCCTTTTCGAGCACATCTCGCACATACAGCGCAATATCCGCGTCGACATGTTTCTGGTCAAGACTGATCTGGTGCGTTAGGAAGGCCGAGAGAGACGACTCAATTTCGGGATTAGGCCGGCTCGTCAGAATTATATGAATATTCTTGAGGCTCGCGCCATTTATCTCTTCGATAACATCCAAAATATCTTGTCTGTCTGTACACTCATCCAAAGCATCAGCAACAATATAAACATTCTCCAATTCCTTAGCTATTGATGCAATTATGTTCAATAAATCAATGGACAATAGTTGACGCTTCTGACGATGCTTGTCGTAGAACGCGTGTAAAGAATTCGGAATAGCAGATTGCTGAACAGCGAGCTGAAACAATATCGATTTGAGAAACGCCTGACAATCTCTCTCCCTATCTTGAAAATCAAAATAATAGTATGCGAGAATTCTTTCTGGATCTTTGCCTATGCGACGTTGAATTTCATCGATTATAGTCGAGCTGGAAATGCTTAGAGATGGAGTCTTAATAATTAGAGAGCAGATTTACCAAATGACTGTTTTTCCAGATCCCGCTACGGGTAACACATTAGCCAGGTTCATATGACGATGGCCTCAATGAAACATTTGTGCGCTCACTAATGCCATGTACCCACAGCCATGATTGTGGGTTCCGGTACCACTGATTGAATTGGGATGACTGAAGCAGCCACAAGCCAGTCTCTGATTGGCGCTTTTTTTGTGCCCCCAAGTGACTTGAAATGCTATCTGTATTTCCAAGCCATTTGAGAATCTCTTCTCGAAGGGTATCTGCTAATCGTTAGAATGCACCAACCCGCGATTTGAGCTGGATTTGCTGAAGGAAATAAAACGAATTTACTCTTCGCAGTCGAGGTTATGGTTTGCTGTAGAGACTGAACACTGCTCAATAAGCTTGATAGACCTTTCCTGTCCAAAGTCAGAAAACGCCCATCGTTTTGGCTTCGTCAAGATGCGTTTGTACCTATGATCCAAAGCCAGAGCAAGTTGAATCGTAGACTTTGTATCCTGAATATTGCTTAGCACCTTTTGCGTGTCAGATTCCTTTAACGGCCACATCGCGACTGCTTTCACATGTCGCCAGCCTTGTTGGGGTTCAAGTTTTCGACTCAATTCCTCCAGATCAGTCTGGCAGCGGTTTAGTGAGCCATTTTCTTGAGCGAGCTTTTCGAGTATAGACTTAGATAGACCTGCATCATCCTCCTCATCAAGAATATCTAGGAGCGATTCGATGACTGTCCGTAAACTATTCAGCTCGTTAATGATTTTTTTGGCGTCCTTCGTTGCGCTTTTCAGACGAGAAAAATAGTTATAGCAACTTGCGATGATTGTGCCACTCAATTGAAGAATGGCGATCGCGCTGGCTGTCCCGCTGAAGGGATCCATACTTGCGATTCAGAAGCTTGTCATCGTTGTCTGGATGTGTCAAGATTGCCTGTGGCACGACTTAAGATGCGCCGCCGCTTTGTAGATTGCAACGCCGCTTAGACAGACGGACAGTAGTCACCTGACCAGCCCCCTCGTATTTAGCGAGCGAGCATTTTCAGCGCGAAGTCAGTCATTGGTAGGTCTCGATGAAAGATTTATGAGAATAAATCTGGTGAGTTCGAATGCAAAAATTTGTGACAACACATTACAGCTTATTCGGATGTCAATTCACGTAATATACCGAAGCATGGCGTTAGAAACATCGCTTCAATCCAGCATTAAATTTATAAGGATAGAACCTACAACATAATCACTTCCTCCATGCAATTATTTCTATAGTAATCATACTTCAGCCCTCAACTTTTTTGATTCCTGCATCATCACTGACTAGAGTGGCTTCGTTGAAATCCTTTCCAGTTGGTAACTCGACATGTACATCCTTCACCCTCGCCATTCCCATCTTAAGATTCTCCCCTGAGATCTCCAACACATGTCCTCCCACCTTCCGATCCTCCGATATGAAGTGCAAGTGCTCTCCAGCCACTGCTAATCCTTGGAATGCTTTTGGAGAACGGAAACCTATCACCGTACCAGATATGTTGTCGTATGTGGACACGAACTGGGAGTCACCTAATTCGGAGAGAGGTTGTCCGGGATACTCTTGACCTTTAACGGTACGCGCTTTGATATGAGTAAAAGTACCGGTGATGCGGTAAGTGACGAATAGATTGGCAGATGGCGGTAGATTTGTGTCTAATCTGTTGACATTCAGCATAGAAGTTATGAAGATTACAGAAATAGCCCTTTCACCATCTCGTATTTTTGACAAGATACCAGATTTGCAGCAGAAATCTTGAAGACGATGTTGGGGCGGCTTACATTTTATCAATCGCCACTTTATTTTCCAACTTGACAGTCTCGGTCTTTTCAGCAACAAAATTTGTTGTCACACCAAATGGAATTTGTTCATCGTTTCCCGCCTCTCTTACTCTTCCCTCAGACTGGAGTTGATATACCACTCCGTCCAAAGACAACAGTTCACCGTCCATCAACACAAAAGTTCCTAGGCCTTGATTGCCCTTTGAAAGGAATTTCGAAACTGGAATGCCGGAAGCGGATACACCATCCATCAAGGCATTTAACAGAGAGAACTGGTAGATATGATTTGGTTCTTCCATCGTGTTCTTATCGGGTGGTAATGAGATGAGGGATTTAAAGAATGATTGCGAAATTTGATTTTCTTGACCAAGAAAGTGCTAGGTATGAGATTCTGTGTAACCGTTAATATCAGTCACGTATTTTAGATAGGCAGAGAATTAAATCGAGACTCATAGTGATGTCCTCCTTTCCTGGAGGATTTGAGTGACATCATCACGTGCCAGTGCATTTTGAAACTTCGACGTACGTTGATATGACAGCTCCCGCTACCGATTCGCTGAATACAAATTGCAGGCTCTGATAGTTATTGATTGAAGCTTTTTCAAATAATAGAAGCTCTTCATGGGCCGTTGCAAGATCAGAAGAGATCGCCGAGATCGCTTTACAAGAAGCTTCACCAAAATGGACCCAGTTTTAAATCCACTGAGTAAGCATTTTATCCTGCGCCATGCCATCATCTTCAAAAACGGTTTAAGTTCCTCATGCACCATCTTTTAGTCACGATATTTGTGGCCTGATTTGAATACGAATATATAAAGATACTTAGATTGGACAATTGACTCTTGAAGTCTGCTAAATTGGGGTTCCATCTTGCCTGTAACCTATTTTTATCACGACTACACAACCGGCAACACTTGGGCTATTTGGCTAGGAAGACGATCAAGATCCTCAGGAACAGAGTGATACCTCCATTTTGAAGATTTCATTGCAAATATTTCCACTGGGGTTTTTGGTCAAATTTTCGTTCGTGAGTGCACCAGAATACTCGGGCATAAGTTCCGAACCCTCCGAGCGGAGGTGAGTTAAACATTGCATCATAGCTGTCTTTTCTCTGCAGCAATGATAACAATTGATGGATAGTTTATAACTTAAAACTCAGTATATCACTGAAGATGTCTTCCGACGAAGCGAAGGTAGCATCAATCATTGTCGACAGTTTGTACAATGCCGGCGTAAGACTCGTCTTCGGCATTCCAGGTATATATTTGTTTAGTAGGTGAACAATCAAACGCTTACCGAAATCAGGTGCCAAGATTGATGCAATATTCGACACGCTCTCAGATCATCCAGAAATTCATCTGGTGGTATGTAGACACGAGCAGAATGCCGCCATGATGGCGCAAGCCGTTGGACGGATAACTGGCACCCCAGGTGTGTGCATAGCTACATCGGGACCTGGAGCAGGAAACCTCACGACCGGTTTACTCACAGCAACCACCGAGGGAGATCCTGTTGTTGCTCTTGTTGGATCTGTCCCAAGGGCCATGAGCTCTAAGCATACGCATCAGAGTATGGCCGCATTGGATGTGCTTTCGCCGGTCTCAAAGAAGGCCGTCAACGTCGATGTCGAAGATCAAGCCGCGGAGACAATCCTTGCGGCTTTTCGAAATGCTTCAACATCACCCCGAGGAGCTTCGGTCGTTTCAATACCAATGGATGTAGCAGCAGGCAAATCCTCGATCAAGGCCTTTCCATCTGAAGCATTCCCGTCACCACCACTCGGACCCGCACCAAAAGCTTCCCTCGAGAAAGTTTCTCGGATGATTGAGGAAGCAAGACTTCCAGTTCTATTTTTGGGCATGCGAGCTTCAAGTATCAAGGTTGTAACTGCGGTCCGACAGTTCCTAGAGAAACATCCCATGCCAGTAGTAGAAACCTTCCAAGCAGCTGGAGCCATACCCAAAGAACAACGACATCTCTTCTTCGGTCGTGTTGGTTTATTCCGAAATCAGACAGGAGATCGCCTTCTCGCAAAGTCAGATCTCATCCTGACAGTAGGATACGACCCTACAGAATATAATGCCAACCAATGGAATCCTTCTGGAGATCTCAAGATCATTCATATGGACTACACAGCCTGCGACTATGAACAATATTATCGCCCAGCCGTCGAACTTCTTGGTTCACTTGTAGAAAACATGACCTACCTCAAAGATTCTCTCAAATCTGTCACTAATGCCTCTTCATCCGATTTCTGCAAAGGCTTAACCCACGACTTCTTCGCCTGGCAATCCCGCAAAGAGCTCCGTCGTGAATCCGGCCTCATCCATCCTCTCCACTTCATCTCCCTCCTCCAAAACAATGTCTCCATCGACACGACCGTCATTTCAGACGTCGGAACCGTTTACATCTGGATGATGCGATTTTTCTTCTCTTACAAGCCCCGAACTCTCCTCTGCTCCAACGGCCAACAAACCCTTGGTATCGGCTTGCCTTGGGCAATCGGTGCATCTCTCATCCAATCACCGCCTTGTTCGCAGAAAGTAGTCTCCATGAGCGGAGATGGTGGGTTCATGTTTTCCTCGCAAGAGCTATCGACGGCAGTGCTACAGGGTTGCAACATTACGCATTTCATCTGGAATGATGAGGCGTATAACATGGTAGAATTTCAAGAAGAGATGAAGTATGGAAGAAGTAGTGGGATCAAGTTGGGGGGTGTTGATTTTGCGAAGTTCGCCGAGAGTTTTGGGGCGAAGGGTTTCAAGATCAATGATTCTTCCGAGTTGGAAAGTGTGATGAAGGAGGCTCTGGCCCATAAAGGCGTTGCCTTAGTGGACGTCAAGATTGATTATACCGATGTGAGGGAGTTGGCCAAAGAACTGATCAAGGAGGATTTCAATTGAACGGTTGATATGAAAGATAAAATAACAGTACATCACCTTTGGAGATAGATTTGGATATAGATTCGGATATACAACAACAGGCCCAATAATTAGAACTTAGCATTAATGGGGCAGATGACAAGTAATTGCGTATAACTGCGTCCCAATATTCGAAAAGCGCCAACTCGATCCTCCATAGCCGCGAGCACAACATTATCAAGTGTAAACCACGCCATTAGGTTTCCCAATTGCCTTTACTCTTACACCCAATGCCGCCATCTCATCAATATCTAACACGCCTCTCCCATCGAACACCCATTTCGGTTCCTGCAGGTGGTTTGCAATTCTCGACCAATCCATTCTCTCATCTCTGGAAAGCTTACGTTGTGTCTTTAATTTACACAAGCTACAATCCTTCTCACAAGGCGGCTCGTCTTTGAGCCGTTGAAAAGGGTCGGTCGTGTTGAGATGCGAACTTAAGTAGGTCTGAAGGGACAAAAGCTCAGACTCGGTGGGAACAGAGTGTTGGAATGGTCTCGGATCTATTGACGAACCCTCTGCTTTTGATGCTGGTGATTTATTTAATGAGGTTCGAAACTCATCTGCGTCGGTCATGATAATAATGGCGTGGCTATCCCAACATGCTTCATATGGTTCAACACACACGTTGATCGGTCCTCCATTCTTTTTGAGCACCTCTCTTCCAATCAGAGTCTTCATTTCTTCCTTTACCGTATCTTGATTGCAGCAAGGATCGTAAATTGCGATTTCAGCCGGTGTATCTTCAAGTAACATCTTAATACACTCGACTGACGGTGAGTCTCGCTTATCTGCCGTATCTTTCTTGAACGCATAGCCAAGCACGGTTAGTTTCTTGCCAGTCAATGTACCGTTCAAGCATGTTATCACAATCCTCGCGAATCTCTTTCTTTGCCAGTCGTTAATCGTCAGAACTTGCTGCCAGTACTCCGCTACTTCACTCAGCCTAAGTCCTTCTGCCAAGTAAATCAAGCTGAGAATATCTTTCTTGAAACAGCTGCCACCAAATCCAACTCCTGCTTGGAGGAATTGATCGCCAATTCTGGGATCCAATCCCACGGAATGCGCAACTTCATTTATGTCAGCACCGGTCGCCTCACAGATCGCAGATATTGAATTGATACTGCTAACCCTCTGCGCTAGCATCGCGTTCGCAACGAGCTTCGATAACTCTGCCGACCAAGTGTTTACGGTTATTATTTTTGAGCGTGGTACCCATGCTTCATAAATTGATGAGAGAGCAGCCGCGGCTCGACGTCCGGATGGTGTCGGTCTTGACCCTATGATGACTCGACTAGGGTGAAGAAGATCGCTTATTGCTGTTCCTTCTGCCATGAACTCTGGATTGGAGAGTATTTCGAGATCTGAGTCTTGTCGATAGGTTTTAATCTATCAAAGTGATCGTCAGGAATATCACGAGTTCAACTGTTTCGTGTGCTTACTATTTTTTCTATCGTCTCTGAAGTCCGACATGGAACGGTGCTTCTCTCGACAATAATTGTGCCCGACTTTGCGTGCAACGCGATCTGTTTTGAGACAGCTTCAATTGCGGTCATATCGGTAACTTTCCCTGCTCCAATGCCGTGAGTCTTGGTGGGCGTGTTTACAGCTATGAGGATAATCTCTGCTTCGCTGATTTCCCTCAAAACATCGACCGAGAAAAACAGATTGGGAAGTCGAGAAGGTACCGTGATTTTATTTCCGTACCGGTTGAAGCTCGTCTCGGATTCTGAAACGGACAGTAGCGATGACAATGTTCTTGATCTCTCAAATACATTTGGCTCACTGATAAATGTGACACTTTCTGTTCCATCCCTGGTGACTCTCAAAATTTCTTTTAAACCAACCTCGTGCACTGGTAGATGTCTGGAATTCCACTGATTTATCTTTGTTTCATCTCCATCAACAACAGTGAACTTGATGTGGGGATTGTGTAAAGCTATCACCGCAGCAGTTGGGCCACCTGGAGTTAACTTTAGCTCCTGGCATGGAGAATTTTGACTTATTTGCTATCAACGCTAAATGATGATTGGATACTGATGGCTGTTTTGAGATTTAGCCCCATATTGCTCGTGCTGACTCAATTCGGTCTAATGTTTTGACAGAGATTGAAATTGTTCGATGATGTCGTTTCTGATATTTAATATTTTCAAGGGATTGCAACTTACCAACATAGCCAGCTCCAACGCAGCAGATCTTTGTGATTTCTACTGGCTGAAAATATGGTATTGCACCACAATTGATGCTGTTTTGTCTCGAATGATCACATTCTGATAGCGATGTTCCATTCGCCTCTTGAGTTCGTAAATCAGGCGAAGGAGAATTGAGACGAAGATTTCCCGATGTACAAGATAGACCTGGTGAACCGTTCCCGACGTTCCCAAGGACATCGCTCGAACAATCGGTCGAGGACGACGACGGTAAATCCATGTCTGATGCTTTGACTTTTGGCTGCGGCTGGGGGCTCGTTTCTGCGCACTGAAATGGCTTCCATAAACGGTGCAATTTTTGATACATGGTAAATTAGTTCAGTATAAATCGCGAACAACAGCTGCGTGATGGTGGCACAGAGCAGAGGAGGAAGTTGCGATGGTGGGTCCGTCAGAACAGCTGGTTTCTTTCTATGAAACTCCCGATGCAATGTACCAACTCAATCTGGTTTTGCACTCTGCTTCTGTCCTGTATGGCTTACTGAATACTACTTGACACAACTGGTAGAGCTCAGTAAGATGCATTGATCGATGCGATACTTCTGATCTTCGGTCAAGCCTGAAGCCATTGGAGAACACATTGAAAAACTTATATTTAATGAACTTAAGTGAAAAGTTTCGATCTAACATTGGCTGATGGTGCAAAATGCTGTAATTTTTCACTGAATATATCTGTTTGAAAGGACTGCAATTTATAGATAGGCAATTTGTGGATTGTCAAACAATATTATAAGTCAATGAAGCTTCAGGCTCCTGTTGGCTAACTACGGGCAAGTCAATACAGTTTTTACATGCAGTCCCAAGCTCTCTTCTAAAAGGGTGCTTCACCTTTAAATTTGTGTCAATTTTAGAAGCATGGGGTGAATGTGCAGAAGATCCACTTCGAAAAGTTAGATACCAATTCTCCTCGACCCAATCATGGATCTTTTTTACAACAAATAACTCGCTCTCGACTCATTTCAAAAATCGCCGACCTATCTTAAATATGTGGACACAATGGCCGCCTCCTCTCAGTCGTCTTTAGTCGGAGTGGATTATTTCTTCTACCAGGACCAAGAAAAACCAAAGCCACAACCCACCAATGTCATGCTATTGGAACAGATCGTTGAATTGCGTAAAGAAATGAAAGAGTCTCAAGAAAAACATCGATTAGAGACAGATCTTTTAGTAGAAGAGTTGAGGCTATGCCGACAGGAGATCAAGGACTTGCAAATAGACTTGCGAAACGACTTCGGTCAGCGGATGACTGCAGTGTGGGTTCTCCTCCTTGATTCAAATATCTTGCATACTAAGCGTGAGTGATTACTAACATTACTATTCAGAAGTGATAATATTACAGCCCGAATGCATAATCTTTCCCACAAGCCCGTGGTCGATAAAATGCAGCCTGTTCTGAACGCGAAGACGGAAGCCATGGTTCGTGTTAACTCGTCGGGAGTTTCGGAGAATCATACTAAGGTGCGTGTAAACAAGTGTAGATGTGCTTAGAAGACAAGTTCAATTTCAATTAGGGGGTGAGAAAAGAGACAGTGGTCAGAAGCTATACTTAGGAAATTCTGGTGCAACGACTCCCAAGTCGCATATAGAAAAACTTGAGCAAGCGATAAAATTTAGGGTTACCCAACCCTGAAGGAACAGCTATAGAGACTTGCTTCTTTGTGTCTTGGTGTCAAAGGCACCTACCATTTTGGGGTCAGTTTAGGCAAAAGAGTGCATTTATTGTGCATTTATTTGATGGGGTTTTTAACGAATCGATGAACATCAGTCTGATAACCTCTTAAGAAAATTCGAGGTAGTAGACATCTAGCACAGAAACGACATCTTGATAAAACAGAAATTCATGTAGCTAATCACATTGAATTCACGTATTCTCTAGTTTCATATTTGCCAGTCCCCAAAGTCTTTGTGATCATGTGAAAACTAATAAACTTTATCCAGATCGACAAGCCGAACTTTCGACTTGATGCATTTGGTCACACTTTTGGAAGTTTGATTCACCGTAAAGTAGTAATATACAGAACATGAACCCGTGGCTAGAAACTGATACAGGGTACAAGCATTCCGATTTTTTGTCGACTTATTTTCTCTTTCTCTTATCCATGAAACTTTGTTACATTATGCTGGGACCTGCCACTTCTATCACCGACTTTCATCGCCAATTCCCACCAGTCAAGGCCGCGATGGCAGCGCCTACAGATTGGGTAGCTTTCAACGCAGCATCCACGCGTATTTCTCAATATGCAAGCCAACTCGCGGAAACTGTCGAAGCTGCAGCCGGTATTCCTACCGATATCGAAGTCGTACAAGCGGAACTCAAACGAGTTGAGGAGCAATCAATCAACGCAATGTTGTTACAGCTTTTGCAGGGCCTAGGAAGTGAGCTGAAGGAGATGAGGCAAGAAATGCAGCAGTTGAAGAATGATATCCGCGAGCAGCAACAGAAGATCAAGAAGGAATTGAAGGACGAAATCCGCGAACAACAACAGAATACGAAAAGAGAGTTGAAAAATGACATCAGTGGGCAGATGCAGAAGACGAGAAAAGATTTGCAAATTGAAATTGACCAGACTGAGAAGAATCTCAAATGGAAAATGGGGAGTGAGACGGCCGAGACGAAAGCTGAAGTCGCGAAAATGCGAAATTGTATTCAGACGATGACCAGAGATATGCAACAAAGTATGGGGGACATGCGAAGTGAGATGCGTGAGGTGATGAAGCAATTGGAAGAGAGAAAGACTACGAATGATGACCAACCTCGTAGGCTCGGAAACAGCGCATCACAAATTAGATACGCTAGCGACAGCGGGGAAAATATGGCGTGTCCGTAAGTACTCTGAATTCCTTGTTTTTCCACCATAAAATGGCGTACTAACAAAGTGTCGTCTCCAGTTTCTCCTAACTTGGGACGGCCAGCAACACGGCCAGTCTCAAACTCTTCGAGAGGCCTAAACGGTCGCCCATGACTAACTTCTGACTGTTAACAGTTGATGCTCACTATTTGGTCGGTGCAGTATATAGTAAAAGAAGGAAGAATTTGGGCCGGGTGTTGATTGAGAGGTGAGACGTTAAAGTTCATGTAGGGTGTTGAATACCCAAGAAGACAAATTCCACTCCATTTTCGGCAATTAACTGAATGTCAAGTTTTGCGTTTTTTTTTTTTGTTTTGTCCTAATATATCAAGCATGAAAAAAAGGAGAGTTCTAAGTCGTAAGCCCAATTCTAGTGTTTTTACCTCGAGATTTCAGAGCTCACCTTGGAAATAAGATAAGCATATTCTCATCAAATCACTAATGAAATAACTATGATATAGCTGTAAGGCAAACCGACTTTGACTGCTGCCGGTAATGGCTGTAGCGGATAACCCTAAGATTACCAGTGTGCTACATAAAGAAAAAGCTGAAAAAGCTATCAAGATATTGCACATGTCACTAAGCCCACATATACACCGTTTAATGCGAAAAGGGAGGTTTTCTGCCGTCGTCACGTCAACTCTGTACCATTTAGAGACTCGTATTATTTTCCTACATTTAAATTCACTCTATGCCCAGAATCAATATAAGGGTGAATTGGTGTGAAAATATCGAGGATACAAAATCTGTTACCTTTCCGACTCTACCACCTCTTTACCTCCAGATTCTCCATCATACCCTCCATTTTAAGCTTCGGTTTACAGCACACACCAGTTTGTTCAACCCCTACCAAGTACACGCCATGAAAAATCCAGTCCTCTCCGACCTGGAAGCGTTAAACAAAACTTCTGCACACCCTTCACAATGCGCCATCCAGCTTACTAAGACAGTAGAGGCTGCTACCTTAATCCCAACCGACCTCGACAGTATTCAAGTCATGCTTAAGCGAATCGAGGAGCAATCGAAGAATGTGTTAATGTTACAGATTTTGCAGGGTTTACAAAATGAGATGAAAGATATGAAGAAGGCAATGGAAGAGACTAAGAAAGAGATGCGAGTCGAAATACAGCAAGCGAAGGAGGGAATGGAAACAGTGATAAAAGAGACGATGACCAAAATGGAAGAAATTGAGAAGGAGATGCGGCAAACAGTGGCACAGACTGAGAAAGAAATGGCGAACAAAATTGAAGAGACTAAGAAGGAGATACAAGCAGAAGTACAGCTGATAAAGAAGAGTGAGCAAATGGCAAGGAAGGTTATGATTCAGACGATCAAAGAGACGAAAAATGAGGTCCAACATGAAAATCAGAAGGCGACCAAAGAAAATCAGCAAACGCAGAAGGACTTGAACAGCGAGATGCAGCGAATGGCGATGAAGCTTCCACAGATGAACGCTATACAGCACAAACTTGAAAAGCAGAGAAATGATATCAAAGCCATACAACAATCCACAAAAGAGACCATTGGCGGTTTAAAGGTCGAGCTCCAAACACAGAACATGGCCATGTAAGTACGCCTTTTTGCTGATTCTGGATCGAACTGCGAACCAGTGAGGAGACATACCCACTAACATATGTTGAACACAACGTCAATTCTAATTGAATATACTCTCTAGGTACCGGAATATGAGAGCCTTCGTCTATAACAATTCGAAAATAAAAACGGTGACGGATCCATTGTATAAATTTGTGGACGGGACAATATGCGACAGTATTCCACAATTCCGGTCCAACATAAAAGAGCTTATCAATTTGAGCTGTAAGACAACCATGTATTTCAGTAGTTAGTTTGTCTATACTGACAGTACCCAGGGTCGGAAAAGAGATTGCTAGGCGCTTGTTTACCTGGTTTTTATGTCCCAGAGCTGGGGGCTGATCAAGCCGGTCGACTCAATTATCTCGAACACCTTCTTGGTGCTATTGGAATTACACCGGATCTGTGTGTATCCGTAGGTAATGAGCAACAATATTACAAACAATGAAAGTAGGAGAGAGAAAAAAGCGATAGTGGGTAGCTCGTTGTGCCGATGCAATGCTTTGATTTCGATGCATGTCGCAAATTGAGTTGCGGTGTCATTTTAGATTTTTGGTGTATTAGACCTAGATACAAACTGTCGCAGTCAAAGATCCAAATCAAGTAACAAACCCAACGTGGTCTCCGAAGATTCCCAGATCAGTCGGTCCCTGCAAAATCAAGGTTGGATATGCAAAAACTTACAAATCACTTCAATATCATTAACCTTACAAAACCATCCGGAGTGAATATATAATTTCATGAAAAGTGGCCACGAAAGCCAGTTTACCAACCTCAATCCACAAATTTTTCGCGACTCTTCGATATCATCCTAAAAACAAATCATTCCTCCTCTCTTACTTCAAAACATTACACTACACGCAACATCTTCAAAATGACACGCCAAAACGTCCCTGCCCGCCTCACTACTCCTGAGCCCTCAATGTCAGACGAGCACATCCTTTTCGAAATCAACCAAATCAGGCACGAGTTACGTAAAGTTAACAACAACCTATCCCAAATTCAAGACGCCTTCAAGAGCCCACCTAAATGCAAACCACCATTCAGGTTCGTCCTCAGATTTTCCATTGAACCTGACTCTGACATTCGTAGATATAAGGTTGCCGCATTGGTAGTCTTTGCTTGTTTGGCTTTTAGTGCTTATATGGCTGGATTTGTTGCGGCAGGAGCGTGGATTCCGAAGGGATATTATGTTTTGTTTGTTGAGAAGAGAGATACAGGGGAGCTTTAGTGATGCGGAAAGATTAGAGACGCTTGATTTAGGAGGGGTAGTGCGGTTCTGACGGCACTCTGGGGTTTGACTTTGTTGGTTGGGATCATGTCATCTGGATATTTAATTTGACGTGTTAGGACTTTGTTGTTTATATAACTTCGTCCTGGTCTAAGGTGTGATGATTGGAGAAGTCGACGGAAATGTGATCAGTTAATTTTAATTCTTCATCTCTATCAGTGAACATAGAAGTGGGGTGCACTTCCACTCTGCTTCAACTTAAAACATTGCAAAGGGTGAACCACAATTTTCCTTTGAAAATGAACTTAGACCACTCAAATCGACAAATAAGGCCACGTATCAGTTACTTACGTGCCCCTTCCCCTTTATCCTCCTGCTACATATATTTCTTTTCAATTACTAATTTCCCAACAAAATCTCACGGCCACCTAATTCCGTCCTATGTTGCAATTGACATCGCACAATCAAATTAAGCATCGTGAAAACAAAACACCCAGCCAACAGCAGGTCGTTTGCGCAGCGTAAAAGCGCGCAAGCCCACCCATTTCCAGGCTTTCACGTCACGAACCCCTTGTCACTCCAAGAAATGATTCATCTCAGAGGACAACTATGGGAAATCCAAAGCTCGTTGAACATTCAAAATGAAATAGCTACTCTTCGGCAGGAAGTGTTGAAAATAAAGAATTCTCTGAGGTCAAAGCCTGCGCGGCACGAGTGCGACAAGCAAAAGGTCCAGTAAGTTTCTTCTCTCTAAAACGAATAGAGGTCGTTTTGATAGAGATAGGGACGAGGGTTCTCATGAGAACGATAGTAACCCAAGAGAAAATGACAGTTTACCTACAAAAGCATCCATTTCGCAAGAGAGCAAAAGCAAAAGCAATGCGACCGAGGATGAGAAGAAGCTAACTGGAGTCTCAAGAATAGAGCTGCAGGTAAATACTAATCCAAACCCCATCGAAATAGAGGACAGTAATATTGTCCACATCTCCCATCCAGCAAAAATTGCCCATCCACTTCCGCTACGTCCTACCACAGCCCGCGGAATTCCGAAGTTCCTTGTAACAAAGCCGGTTGAAAAACAGTACAAGAAAATGGGCGTCAAGTGAAAACCGAAGAGGAAGTTTCCATCGAACGACTAGCCCCTATGTTACAACTCAAGTCGTCACGGGGGAGAAACACTCAAGTCAAAGTTGCCGAGGATGTATCTGGGTTACGTCTTACATTTCCTACGCAGTACAATCTCAAAGTTTCAAAGCAGACGATTTGCAACCACTATCAGAAAGCGCAGCTGCGGAGCTTTCGAAATTAAAGACCTGCATTGCCGCTAACTTGGCATTACCACCACATGAAAAGTAGGTTGCTGCGGTTAAAATCACATCAACCGATCAAACCCCTCCGCACAGCTAACGGCTACTCTACTACGGTCGAAAGCCTCAACTACACAAACTTTCTTCTTTCCCCTTCCTACAACCAATTTTATTTAAGGCTCTGCCCCACAAACTCCCTCGGACATGTTAACCCACTCCCGATTACCTACAGAAAAACCAGCTACACTTCTCATCCAGGCCTTTCCACCACAAACGTCCTCCGCGCCAATTTAAATAGAAACAAGCGACTACACGACTCTCATTGGTCCTACTTTACAGATGTGGCCTCCACATGCACGGAAAAGAAGGCGGACTATGCTCACCTCACCAAAATATCAACTTTCTGCGCCTCCTTTTCAGCAAAAACACACCCTTTAGATAACTTTAATATATTCTCGGAGGTTGTATAGGTGATACACTGAAGATTGTTCTCTAAGTCCTAGAATTCCAGTTTATCACGTTGTTGTGGTGTTAATGCTCGATGAACCAAAATCGGCTTTGTTTTTCGTACACGTGGAGGTGGCTAAGCATAAACTTTTTAGACAGAAACAGTATCTTTATGTCATCATATGATAAATTTGGAGGACACTAGAGGTTAGGCAGGTTTAGTCATTTTCACTTGTACAAATCGGACTAGAGTGTGCGCCAAGAGGAGGATGATGTCGAAAGTGCTAAAACGCTACACTCTTCTCATTCCTAACTGTTACAACTTTTGTCTCTCGATCATCCATCCTCGCTGTCAAAGATATTTGTGGTTTCTTTCTAGAAAATTTTGTCCCATCAACACTTATCTCCCCACAATGGCTCCAACGTCGCGCGTTTACGATCGTTACCACGAACTTATGCCAGATGACGCAAACAAGCAAATAGAAACGTTAAAGGGTCGGACGGTGTCGGCGACGACACAATTGAGTACCGCCAACACAGCGCATGAGTTTATCGATGCTAAAATCATGCAACTGACGTCTCAAATCAAGTTAGATAAGGAGGTAAAAGGTTGTTTTGTTAACGCCAAAAAGCGTAAAGTACCTTGTATCGAGGAGATAGATGAGGAGGTAGGGAAAATTGAGGAACATGTGGAGAAGGCTGAGAGAGAGCTACTGTTATTGAAACGCCAAAGGAAAGCAATAACCGACGATGTCAAAGAGGGAAAAGTCGCCTACTCAACTATGGCTGAAGCCTACTGTTCGGCTATAACTTCAAAATTTATGTCTGCAAGTAAGCCGACGAAGTCAAAGTTTGATCAGCACTCTTACGCCAAAGGCGTGCTCGAATTCTACGGAGCCTCACGTAAAACTTCCGACGATGAATTAGAAAAGTATTGCCACATCACTGGGTGGCAGGCTCCAAGCACCGTGGAATGCGCCCATATCGTACCTAAGTATCTGGAATCTGAGGAATTGTCATATCTCTACGGTGTGAGGGAGACGATGCTCTCCGAGCCACGTAATGGTATGCTTTTCTTTCCATTTACGTGTCTTGAAATGTAGCTAATTTGAGGTTTTTAGGAATTACTTTTAATTCCGTGATCAAAGATGGCCTCGATAAGGGGTGGATTGTGATAGTTCCTGATAAATCACTTGAGGGAGAGGAGATAACTTGGAGGTGTATATTGGTTGAGCAATCACGGGGATCAAGCATTATTTGCCCTGGAAGAAAGTGGCGAGTATGTATACATTTCTCGGACATAGTTGATGATGTGGCTAATAGCTATTGTAGGACATCGACGGGAAGGCTCTCAAGTTCCTGACCCCCAATAGACCAGCCCACCGTTATATGTATCTACGATATGTGATGGCTTATATCCACCAGCTCCAGCTTGGAAATACAGAATGGCATGATCGCATAAGTGTGAGAGAACATCTATGGGCTACCACAGGACAGTACCTCAGGAAATCCATGTTACAGGTATTAGCAAGTCACATATCAGATGGGTACGTCCCAGAGGCTTTTTTTGAGTCAACGTTTCAAAGCGCAGAAGGGTGTAAGGAGCGCAGTACAGAGGAAGAAGAAGATCTTGTGCTAGGCTTTCACTATAAGTTGAAAGATCTAGATGGTTTTTATGACGGGGATGACACTGAATCTCTAGATGATTGGGAGCACGAGGGAGACGAAGAATAAAATGGTTAATGGAGTAATACAAAGGAATAAAGCTATCATGGAGTTCGATAGGGAGATGGCTGTGAAGTTGTACGGGATTGCTTTCCAAATCCAGAGCAAACCACGAACATCCAGAATGTCTGGCGGTTTAGAGGAGATAACTAGCCCCCAAACATGGCGGATAGATACCAGTACATAGGTAAAATGAGATTACAAAATAAAACCTCTAGTTGTTTTTCAAACAGGTACGAAATGAACATATACGATCACTGCCTCGATACGTATGGTCACGGTCGTGACACGTACGGGCCGAGCCTCGATACAAGCGGGATGGGAGATTGTCAACAGAAATTCCCGAAACGTTCACTGTCTGGGGCACCAACAGGGGGGTTTTGGATGTGAATAACTCACTTCATAGAGCCATATTACAGGTGGTGGTGCTTAGACTTCTCGTTAGAGTTTTGGTACCGCCTGATCAGTGACTTGGTATTTTGTGAGTAGTAACCAATAAACGATTCATTTCTGAAATCATTTCATAGAGCGGTGTCAGTAATTGTGCTTATAACATCAGAACTGGGTTTCAGTATAGGCAGTGAAGTAATTAGACGGCTAAGGGGTATTGTTAAATATAGCGTTGGTAACATAATGTGCTGTACCTTTCGTGGACGAGGATTGCGTTATCTTCCTACTTCTGTTGATGGGTTTCCATGTGAGTACGCGATGTCTACTATAGTTTAGATACCCCATGGGTGGGTTTCGGGTTTGGTTTAGTGAGAATTTAGGTGAGGGAAGGGTGAATCAATACTGATTTGGCTTTAAGACTCGGATCAATGCAAGGTATTGGAACTTTCAAGGAAGCTAGTATAATTGTAAGAAGCGAACTTTAACTTACCAGAAGCCGAATCGTCAATTTAAGTGTTCCGTAACTATTAATTCAGTAATACATTACGGCGAGTAGAGCTCGGTTGTATTGAGTAGAACTAAACAGTATAACTATACTGTCATTTAACACCTATAGAAATTACCTCCTATCCAACTCCTCTACACAATTTCTCTACTTTATACATAACCATAAGCGACACATTCTTATCACGTATCTCCTCTCCGTAAGATACAGCCACAACTTCCCACCCGTCAAAATGCTACACACCGCCCCTTCAAACCTCTCAACAGCTCAACTCCTGGATCATCTCCGCTACCTCAAAGCCCAAATAACAGACCTTGAAAACGCCGTTCTGTATCCCTACTCTGAGCTCGAAGATCTTCAGCGGCAAGTGGCCGAGACGCGAGAGATTTTGCGCGCACGAGGGGTGCAAATTCGGAAACAAGGAGAAGGGGGAAAAGATAATCAAGAACAACGGAAGGATGGGCAGAAAGCGGAGGAGAATCAAGTCCGAGATGTCAACGGAGAGGAGGAAATGAGCGCTATGGACGAGAGATTTGGAAATGGATGTCTATCTGTTCTTTGGAGATGGCTTTTTGGGAGATGGATTAAATAGCTCAGCGCTGTGGTGGGGTGAAATGAGAAGTGTTGTGTTCGTAAGGTAGAGTAAAAAGGGTCTAGCCATCTCTAAAATCTGTTCTATAAACGAGGTTGCGCACTCCTTTTCTCTTCTCATTTTAAGATCTAGAAAGATTCATATTATCGTCTGAGTCTCCTCTCACTCCTCTGTCCTCTCTGCTCATCCGAAAGCCAAGCAAAAGTCAAGCGTCCAAGAACCGTTCCCTATATCTATATCATTTTTATTACTAACTACACTTTCTACAACATCTACACAATACGACTAGGACTATAACTTATTTTACCGCCAGAGCTTTAACACTAAATGCAAAAGTTCGTGTTGAACATTGGCCATTTCAGTAAAGGTTATACTGTTCAAATCATCGAGGGGGTGTCATAGTGTTTGTAACATGTCACAGGCTCTCTAGGTAACTTGAGTTCATGATCACTATCCAATTTCTATACGCTCAAGGTCACAAAATTGTCCAAACTAGATACGTTATTCCCTAACATTCAGCAACTTTCTAATCGCACTCCTTTTCAACCCTTCAGATACTCATCCCAAAATCAATCCACAATCGACTCATACTATCATCCCGTCCTATGAAACTACCCCAAAAACGCCGCTTTGATTCATTTAAATAGTATATTAACCAACTTAATGGTACGTCATATATGAAATCTCGATGAATAAAACATGTACCAGTTGAAATCAGGGTGGGTGACTAGGGACTAGTCAATTCATCTGTACATGACGATAGCCTTGGGGCGTGTGGCGAATAGAGTATAGATATGTTCTCAGGATGATCAAAATTAGGGTGGTAGAGGGGATATATAAACTCCTTCGCATGCAGACCTATCTGCTTGATTTACGTTCTTGCCACACAGTTTCTCTACAAAAGTAACTCGCCCACTTAGCCCCATCACCAATCACCCAACATTGTTCATATCTCATCTAACATTACCACCCGCCGAAATGTCAGACACACCTCAGGAGACGCCCCTAAATGCCCAACTACTCGACCAACTCTACCTTCTCCAAACCCAAATAACTCAACTCGAAGACTCATTCGTCTACCCCGAAACAGAACTCGCAGACTTACATCATCAAGCCGCGGAGATCCATGAGCAGCTACAATTTATCGCCGAATCCGGTCAAAACCAAAATCATGACGAATGGGAAAGCGATATCCAAAACGATTATCAGAACGCAGCAAATGAACACGCAGACCCTGACATCTCACCACCTCCCTACCAAGAAGTCGTAGAGATGGATAGGCTGGAATATCTTAGGCTGGAATTTGATGAGGGGTCTGACATACCGATAGCTGCAGCTCATACCAGTTTTGACGCGCAAAGACGCGATACAGGCGATATGGAGCAGGATTATGATTCTTCTTACGCTAATTCTCACGACGACTTTTCTCATGATGCATATTCCCAAGGTTCAGCCAATAACGGCTCTTGGAGATCAACCGAGTCGCATCACGTCACTGAACCAAACATAAACCAGGACCCTCAAGCATACAACTATGGCGACTCTCACCCACCCGCTGGGCAAAATGACAGAAATAACACAAACACACCCTACCGATACCAGCTACAGACATCAGATTATATGTTCTTCACGTTTTTGATTATGTTTTTGATATTTCCTTTCGGATGGGTTGCATGGCTATCTTGCCACCGAATGTGTTAGGTCTAAGGGGGTTGAGGGGAAGATGACGTGGTATAGATGACACACTGGAGATGATAGCTGCGTGTCTCTAGATGCATTAGATTTGGGACAAGTAAAGACTTTATATCATATCAAAAATTTACTACGATTAGCGATAATGAGAAGATACATACGATAAGATATCCAATATGAGAAGTTCTTTGATGTCGAGTGATTTTTCAATCTCAGGCTTCTGGTCATGTGGAAATGTTTGAAGGGTTCTTTTAAGTAGAACAATTATTATAGGGACTATTAAATGAAAGAAATAAAGAGGTTTATACTAAAACATCCCAGACCATTAATAGATTCTCAAACAATTAAGCTCTTTAAACATAACACTAGTGAACTCCCAGTCTTTCAGCCTCCATGAATTCAGGAGCCACGTCATGAATTAAAACTCTACTAAGTGAAAGTGCTATAATTCACGATCACCTCCCTCCAGCTGACGTGTGGCAGAGCACACATGTCCCACCAGCCCTAAATCATATAATCCCAGGCGGCTCATCCACCATCTCTTGTCTCCAGACTTCCACCATCACAATCAAACCTCCATAATTATCACCCGCATACAGCTCATCCGTCACTTACCCACACCTCCCATCAAAATGGTCCGTCAATCTCCCCCCAACCCCCAGCCCCAACTCCAATCCTCCCACCGCATCAGCCAAGATTGTCGACGCCAACTATCATCAATCCGAGAAATGCTGCGCGCCCACCGGGAATCCAACCACGCCTCAATAACTCAACTCGAAAACTCTCTTTCATCCCTACCGGACCTAGAAACTCTCCAACGTCAAGTAGCATCAATGGAAGAAATGCTGCGCGTCCAACGAGAAACCAGCCAAGCCCAAATAACTCAATTGCAAAACTCCATTTTCTCCCAACCAAATGTAGCAGCTCTCCAAAGCCAGCTGTCCTCAATTCAAGAGCTACTGCGCGTCCAACAACAACTCAGCCAAACCTACAACAAAACACACGATAACAGCGATGCCGTAACTCAACCGCCAATCGTAAACATCACAATCAACGGCCACGGTATTGATATTAATCGTATGAGAAACCTAACGCCTGCTACCAGCGAGACGTCTGGGATGGAATGGGGGTTTCAATTCTTCACTCCAAATACCCAGACTCCTGCTTCCGCTGCCACACCATCCCAATCTACCGCCCAGCCATCCTCTCCAACACCGCTACTTCAAAACCCCACGCCCAGAGGAAAGCGACCCTCAAAGGCTCAAGAAAACACACGTGCCAATGCGCAAGTCCACACCCCAGCGACCAACGATCCCTGTGTCCTCGTTGGACTCTGCGAAGACCTAACCCTCATCTCTATTTTCATTATTTTCTGTATGGCGTTGCTGTCTCTGCTTTACTTGTCTTGCATGTTTGTTTGGGGGGTGTGAGGAATGAGAGGGGTTCGGTAAGACTTGGGGGACAGAAAGGATAATGGAGGGGCGACTTAGGTTTACATTCTGGATGATTATTTGGGATGATACTTAGGAATAGGAAAGATTGTGTTAGATTTAGTGCTAGTAGAAATTACATATAGAGGGGGTAGATATACCGAGAAATAGAAGCCCTTCTCTACTAACCTATTCTTTATTTTACTAAATTCTTTATTTCTATTCTAACCTCACTACTAACTATTACGCAAATCCAGACAAGAACGGGATAACACCCCTGTCAACGCATTTATTAATATCAATATCAACGGTCATGGGCTAGGAAATCTCATAGGTCGTACGGGGGGAAACATCTCTCGATTCTTTGCTCCATCCTCTCCCTCAACTCCAGCACCAGCATTTTCTCCCAAGCCGCCCCGGGCGGCAATCTGCGAACCAGTTTTTTACTGTTTGTGTCGTTTTGCTAGTGTATGTACGGGGTTTATGCTTGGTATGTGTATCTCAATGATTTGGGATGTCTTTTTTTGAGAGTGCTAGAAGGGTTGATGGGTGGTTGAGAGGGGGATGAATGTGGCTACGAGGGAGGTAGAGATGAGGGAGGGGGTGGAGGGATGGGTGATGATCAGGGGTGGGGAGGTGGGGAGAGTGTAGATGTGTTGAAGAATTATGGAAATGGGAATCACTTCTCTTGTAGCGGGGATTGCAGCGTAGGCTTTTATGTATATACTACTATTCAGATGCTTTTTATATAAACAATACATCGAAATTGAGAATAGATGAAACACAGAGTTTCACTTAAAATCATAAGGGTTATAAATAGAGAATACAATGGAAGGTTATATAAGACTGTATTTATACGGATTTTCTTTCTAACATGATTCTAAAATAAAAACTCTTATATCGTATTCCTTCCTATACCGAAAAAGTCTTAACTTGAGAAGCTACTACGTAAATAGAGGTAGAAAGTAAAGTAACAAGCCCTAGACTTATAAAAATTCATCTTACAACATTAAATCTTAAAAACTATACCTTAATCTTATTATCCCCACCTATTCTACCCGCCGTTTTTATTTCTCATCTCTCCTTCACACCTTAGCCCTCCAAAAACCAGCTGAATAGAGAATAAACGGCCCAACCCCTCCCAAGTGACTGGATAGGTAACTCACTCTCACACCACTATAAAATCACAGCCATTTCACTATAACATTACAACCATTTCACCACAACCACCCAGCCATTTCACTCCCATTTCACTCCCATTTCACCCTTACTAACAGGCAGAACAGTACGTATGGCGCACAGCCTCAATAGCGTAGTAAAGTGTCTATATTAACTCCCATCCACTCCTCCACAAACACTTTCTTTTCAAAGCTACTCTCGTACATACACACAACCACAACACCTACAATCACACACAACCAAGACCTTCTACAACACTCAGTAAAATCATCATGACACGCGCACCACCACCACCTCCACCCCGTCGGAAGATGAATACTCAACAGACTCTCCAATATTTATCTAACACCTCACCACACTCTAATCCATTCTCTGACCACTCACCGGGACTTGAACGACAACTTCCATCTCTTTCCAACACCTCACCACATTCTAACCCGATCTCTGAACACTCACCTAAATCTCAAAAGCCACTGGCACGATCAACTTTAAACCCCTCACCACCTTCTAACACCCAACAAACCAAAGTACCTCAACAACCACCTCCCTTACCTTCGACTTCTCAACTACTACTAGCATTCAGCCGTGAACAATCTTCACCACCTTCTGCTGCTCAACCACCACCCACGAGTTGCACGCCTTCCACCTCCTCACCCACCACGCAAGCCGCCCCGCAACTCACCCTCTCAACACCCACCCAAGAGCCCCTCTCTCTCCCCAACCAACCCCTCTCCGCCACCGAACTAGCAGATTGGAAACATTCATTAAAAGAGATGACCGAGAAGTGGACCTCTGAAGATGCACCTAAGACTGGAGCGCCAGGTCTAGGTGAAGAGTCTGGTAAAGTTCACGAGCATTTCTCAGAACAACAACCCGCAACCACGTCCACGGAGGAGACGGTGAATGAAGAGGGCGTTCGTGGGGGAGAGTTGAAGGGTTCGGAGGTTACTCGACAAGAGATTCCACCACTTTCTACCTCTCAACCTCGCAACACCCCCTCCACCAGCTTGTCTAACTCCGCGGCACACTCACAAAACAAACCACTACAACCTCACCATCCACCACCAGATCCACACAACTTCCTCAACTCCTACCAACTCGATATACCATCCGACCCTGTAGAGTTGGAACGACGAGTAAGGGAGATACTGGAGAGGAGGGGTCTTGGGTATTTGATTAAGGGGAGAGGGTTAGTTCAAGCACAGCAAGGCCAAGATCAAGATGAAGCACCACCTCCCCAACCTCAACCTCAATCTCAAACTCCCAGCCATCTCCAATCCCAATCTCCTCCCCATCACCACGAGTCACCTCACGAACTCCGTGATAACACAGCTCACGAAGCCCTCACAGGTACGAAAGACCTTCTTCGCTTCGCTAGCCAAAAGACACAATCCAAAGCCGCTGAGCCTGTTTGACAAGCTACAGATACGGCACCGAAGATAGAAGAAGTAATTCGTCTGGGAGCGCAAACGACGCAGGCTGAAGCTTCGAAAATTGCGCGACGATTAGAAGAATTATCATCTCTCGTTGATCCTCATCCAGCATCCGATTCTCACCAACCAAAATCTCTGAAACCACAACCACTTTCCAATGCCCAGAAACCAAACAATCAGCAACCACCCGCCCAACACCCTCTCAATCAATGGCACCGTCTCCACATGCAAATCCTCGATTCCGCCACGTGCGCACCCACCGACGAAGACGTAGTCGAGCTGAGGCGGCTATCGAGGGAGGTCGATGAGATGCTGGACTTGGATTTGGGGAAGTATTATCCAGCACGTCAACGAAGGGAGTATATAGATAGCAAGCGCCTCGCACAGGGTAAAGCCGCTGAGAGATTTACAGATATGTTCTTGGATGGCGGAGGAGTTCAAGAACTCTCCAAGACCGAGTCCAAAGCGTTTCAAGCGACGCCAGACCACACCAAGATATCTGAAGTTCTACGTCTCGCAGCAACGACGTTGGAGGATGAAGTGTCCAAGCTGTCTGAAATCTCGTCTTTAGACAGCGGAGGAGTTCGCGAGCTCGACTCCAAAGCGACGCCAGACCACACAAAGATATCTGAAGTCCTACGTCTCGCAGCGACGACGTTAGAGGCTTCAGTAGCTAAACTTGTTCAAGAATCCGATTTCTCGTCTCTGGACAGCGAGGGAAGGAAAGAGATATCAAAGCTCGAGTCCAAAGCCTCTCGAGCTACAAAGCCAGTCCCGGATTACATGAAGATAGAAGAGGTGATCCGGCTAGGAGAGTTGATGGGCAAGGGTAAAGCCGCAGAGATGGCTGAAGGGAGACGGGAAGGGGAGGGAATTCGCTCGGTCGTCTATCCACTACCCACCCCTCAGCATCAACTCCCCCCTCCCCGCCCCCTCAAACCTCAACCACGGCTCCCTCTTCCACACGCTGCTCACCCTGCAAAGCCTATCCACGCGTATTCAAAGCGCGCATCTCTTAGCTCAAACGACGCAGCATCAACATCTCCTAACGCATTCCTATCCGGCGCCAAGTTATGACGAATTAGCGGAGATCGATCGGCTGGTGCGGTGTTTACAAGAGATTTTAAAGGTGTTGTTGAAGGAGACGGTGAATCCGTGGGAAGGGGTGTTGGAGAATGGGGGGAGGGCGAAGGGAGGGGAGGGGCAGGCGGAGATGCGAGGGGAAGTAGCACTACCAGCACCTCAACACCAAGCACTGCACCCACTATTACAAAAGACCTTAAACGGCCAAGCTATCAACACAGAACTATTGAAAAATGGTGAGATTTTTAGGACGTCGGTGGGTACGGGTAATTCAAGAGTTTTATCTGATGAGGCGCCGCTCGAATGCCGAAGTTGTTGGCCGGATTTGCCAAGTGGTGGGAGAGTGGAGGGTGGAATAGTGAGTTCTGCTGGGGCAGGAGGTGCTGAGACGGGAGAGAAGATTGCGTCGGGTGAAGTAGCTTCGGGTGCTGCTTCTGCTCCCGCGAATTCTTCGACGGGTGGAACAGTTGCGGATGTTGGTGCTTCGGAGACGGTAACCACTTCCTCGAAACCCATCGCCAAAACAACTAACACCAAACCCACAACCTCCGTCACCAAAACCACCAACAAACCCAATACCACGAAAAACACCACCAAGCCACAAACCACCACCAATTCCAACACGACCAAACCCAATACCACTAAACCATCGCCAACCAAAACCACGACCAAACCCAACACCACCAAAAGCACCTCCAAGCCACAAACCACGACCAATTCCAATACCCCCAACAACACCAACAAACCCAACACCACGACCAAATCCAACAGCATCAAAACAACCAACAAGTCCAATACCCCGAAAACAACCACCCAGCCACAAACCAAAACGCCAGACTCAGACGACTTCCCTTCTAACACAGAGGATTTTCTGTTTCTCGCGGGTTTGGGCATCCCCTTCGCCGTGGGTTGCGTATGTATGGTCTGGTGGTTGGTTCAGTGGATTATGTGGATGTGTGAGTAGGGTCTCGGGGGAGGGGAATGGAGAAGAAGGGGGAAATGAGGGAGATGGAAAGGGTTGTGATTTGGTATGATAGAGATTTGATTTGGACGCTGGAGATGTAGTAGGAGATGGGTATTTTGGAGGGGAGGATGTGTTTGGGTCTTGCGATAGGACGAAGAATGGGATATTAGGTATGAGAGAGTATGGTGTCGGAGCTATTTGGTCATTACTTAGGAGGGTATTATTTGTAGTGTGACGGGACAGGAGATGGCTTCTGTCATGATATTACAGATTGGGAAATATAGCGATTAGGCGCTTGTATGTAGGAAGGGAAATGTCGCAACTCTTCTTTAGCAATTCAAGCATTTTGCGAATGTCTCTTCTTAGAACCATTTTATGGTACTGCCACATTTGACTTCTGTTGTAAGCACTCTTTGAAAGAGGCTCAATGAAAATAATTAAAAATGATAAATGCAGAAATAACGCAAAACCAAAAACTCACGTAATCAATGAGAGAAGAAACTCGTTGCCTTGAACTATTTTATGGTACTACCACAGAATTCTCCATCTTCCCGACTCAATAAAAGAAACGCCTGTCAAAAACAAGGGCAAAACCATCAAACACGTAGTTGACAAGAAAATAACCTCCTTTCCCAGAACTGTTCTAAGGTACCACCACAATAAACGTCCTTTCCCCCCACCAACCAAAGCGTGAACTCAAACAAACAAACGCGTAATCAGCACAAAAATTGTCAGCATTATAAAAGCTCATTCTATGAACTTCTCATGAATCTGGCCAAGAAAAGCTTTCCCGGATGAAATAGACGCGCAAGTAACAAGCATGTAGTCAACAGGATCAAGAAACTCTCACCTCACCTTAATCCACTGCCCAGAGAATGGAACACTGCCTAGCTCGGGGCAGTGCTATATCTTTATTTCGCCTTCAAGTACGTGTATCTGGTCCCGACCATAGGGCTGAACAACTTCCTAGCGCTAAAGGTTGATTTTGCGCCGCTTGTATGACTGTGAAGGAGGTTGTTGTACCACTCAGCACCAAGTACATCGCGCTTATTGAATACTGTACCTAAGTCAACTCACGCCTCTCGCAACTCACCTACAATACAGTCATGATCAGTCAACCCACGCCTCTTCCACTCAATATCTCACCAAGAGCTTGACCTCATCGTGTATCCCCCACCAATACGGGTACCTACCCCGCGTATGTACGAAATCTGCACTGCCAGACTGCCAGTGCCTGCGAAATTGCGGCGCCACGGCCGTTTGCTGCAGACCATACGATGCGTGGCGCTGGATGCCGAAGATGGTCGTTGAAGAGATTACGGCGCTTGTGTTGGTGGCCGACATTTGACGCGGCCGCGACGTCGGGTTTGAAGATCTATTTTTGGAATCGCGACACTAGAGAAGGTCTGGAAGATTAATTGGTGATGTTCTATTTTTCATCCGATCTCTCAAAAATCAAAACAATCTCGCGATTTCATAGTGATGATGATGAATTGAGAAACAAACGGAGTCAAATGATCATCATCCGAGGCAAGTCTCGCATCAGTGGTCGTGCCAGACTGTCTCGCAATCCTCGTGCGCGTCTTGCAATTTTCACCGCCGAACCAATCTGCCACACGTCGACCCCTGACGACGACCCAGACGCGGGTTTGAGGGTCCACTTCGGCAGTCTGACGCCCAATGAAGTTAGTGCCAAGACGAAATAACCCCTGCAACGGCCGTTTAGAGTTGCTGCATCATCCTGGACGATTAGCCGTGCGCTTGGGAGAGGACGTCTTGGCAGTCGCAGATTCCAACGACCTTGAGGAACGTTTCATGAGAGATGGTTGATGGAGAGCGCCAGGACGAGATGAGGTCGATAGGAGGAGAGGATGGGAGTTGCACGTATGGTATGCGGCGGTAGTGAGGTTTGGATGTTGAGACCTGTAGGTAGGTGAGGTTGGTAGGTTGACTGGTTAGTTGGAGAATACGGTGTTTATCCAAGATTGATTACAACCTCTCACGTCTCAATGGTTATTGAATACAGTACAAACTCTCGCTAATACAAGACCAGCGGCTTCATCAGCGCTCCATCCGACACACCTTGTTTGATATCGCCGCCTCCAGCCACGAATCTCCCACGAATCTCCCGAAGAGCCTCCTCCGAGTCCTCCCCACTCGCCTCAACCACCCCAGCACAGCAAATTCTCCTCGACCCCCTCCTACACCCCATCCCTCCCCAGCACATCCTCACGCCATTAAACGTGTTCTAGCGTTTGATAACCCCCATCTCGACCATCCTCTCCCTTCCCATCCACCAGATCTACCACCCACCGCATAATGTTTCTGAAGCACGGCCATTGATTGACCTTTCCCTTCTTCATCACTTCTTCTTCATATACATACTTTTTAGTTTCCTTATTTCATAGTCATCTTTCGGCGAGGTCTAGAAACGGAATCTCAAAAGGTCACCAGATACCTTTCTGGGCAGGACCCTATTCCGAGTACCCTTTCGTGCTGGAATTACATTCTTTCGAGTCGACGTACTCACCACGTTCATTGAACCATCTTTTCGACCGCAGGACGGATAATTTTCTGCTTCTCTTCTCTTCGCCTTACGTTCGATACGATACGACTCTTCGACCTATTATATATTGATTATACGCAAACATGTTGGCACGAATCTTCACAACCGGGTTATTGGCAAGCCAGGCAACGGCAGGAGCAATAGGAAATGGCGGACTCTTCGCACGAAAAGATCATTCCATGGAGGAGGTGATGCGACGATATGTTGATTCGATCATCGACCCCATCGAACGAAGACAAGAAACCACCGCTCAAATCCCAACCATGAACATAACGCAATGGGACGAAGCCACCACCGCAGCATGTACCACCTCCCTCGAAGCACTCAACGGGCGACCAAGCAACCCCTCGGGCATGGCAGTCTGCTACAACCTCCCCTTCCTCAACGAGACAACCGGTATCTTCCAGGCGGATCTACGACTATACATGGTCGGCGCCCCAACGGGTGATTTCGCCAACATCGCATCGCAGAATGTAAATGTCGGACTCTCATACAGCGGCGCCACGGTACAAGCCATCAACGCCACGACCATGACGAAGCGTTCCGATGACTCGAGTCTGATTTCCTGGCCCAGAGCTGTGGAGATGAGCAAGAGACAGACGCAAGTCCCGCAGCTGGCGCAGGCATATGCGTTTGTGGGACAGGTGAACCGCGAGTTGCTCGCTACACCGGGCGGAACGTACGTCCCCTCTTCTCTCCCCATTGAATTCCGAACTAACGAGATAACAGCACATCCCTCCAAAACATCCTCGTCCCAACCGTAACCCTCACAGCCATGAACGCCACCGGCCAACTCGTCAACACCACCTTATCGAGTCAAGAAGCAACCTTCGTCAACGGCGTCTTCGCCACGCAAGTCGTGCCCACCAAATCCCAGGTCGCGCCCCCGATTCAAACGCTCGTTATTAAAGACGGCTCGACTTTCGTGGTGCCAGGGCTGAATATCCTGATTTTTCCCATTGGAGGCATCATCACGGGGACGTGGGCGTTGCTGTTTGTGGGGGTGGTGGGGTGGGGGACTGTGGGGAGAATGCAGTTTCGGGAGCAATACAGGAGGAGGAGGGAGAGGGCGGCGGGGGGGAAGGCGAGGATTTAGATGGGGGAGAGAGAGGGGGGACGGGGAGAGATTCTTGGGTGAGGAGCTTTGATTTGATGGATGGATGGGGGAAGATGGAAATGGGTGATGAGAGGGGACGGAGTGGGGAAGAGAGGGGAGTTGTTTATAGGGATTGAAGGGAGTAGGTTGGATATATATCAAATTCAGTTTTGCGTTTCTATGTTGTTTACATTTCTTTGTATGGAAAATTTAGGTAGGCAATTAATACGTCTTTTAATCATTCTTTTCTTCCTCGTCTCTTTTATATATACATATATATATGCAGTTTTGTTTACTGACAACATACTAGGCCCCGTAAGAGAACATTGCCTCGTCGCGGTGAAGCGTTCCCTTCTGCGTTTAGTTGGGGGTGGGATAATGATGACTTGTTGCATGAAATCAAGATCTGGTTGTTGTGGATGTCGATGTCGTGGTTTGATTGGGTTTGGATTGGTTTGGTTGTGTGTGGTTTAGTTTGGTTTGGGGGGGGGGAGGACGTAAAAGGAAAGGAGAGGTTGGTGACTTAGTTTTTTGGGATGGCGGCAACTTTGATGGTGAGAAGTGTTCTGAGGAATGGGGGCGGGGAGGGGGG